TCCAATGCACAAGAGCTTTTTAAAGCCTCTGCTTGTATCATGATTACTAATGTCCCATTGGTCAAAGTGACATGGCCAAGTCAGTTTCAAGGGGTGGAGAAACAGACTCCATCTCTTAGTGACCTTACAAAAGGATGTGAGGACAGGCATGGAGGAATTGCTGCAGCCGGTTTCCGATGTACCAAGCCTGTGTTCCCGGTAAAGTATCGGGGAAAGTTCCCAGCTTTGGAAGCAGAAAAACCTTGATTTCTGATGCAATCACTTACTTGCTGTGTGACCTAAGTTAAGTTGCCTCACATCTCTGAGCTTCGTAAGCTGGATAAAATGGAATGAAATGAGACGATCTTCATTAAGTGCCTGTGCTAGTCATTTGCTCATTAATGTAACACATATTTACGAGGACCTACCCTGTGCCAAGCAAAAGCCACAGCCTGGGGGTATCGTGGTGAACAAAATGAACCCAAACACCTGCCCTTGGGAAGCTCAGTCTAGGTTGCAGACACGCATTAATTGATCATCCCAATAATTTTATGGGTCCTGGAAGGAAGGAGGGGCTGCTGACCTGGCCAGGCAGGTCTGGAAGCCTGAGATATTTGAGCTGAGATGGGAAGGGTAGGTAGGAATTAACCAGGAGAAGGGATAGGAGTGGAAAAGGATTCAGATGGAAGGAACAGCGTGTGCAAAGGACCTGTGGTGGGAGGAGTAGGTTCTAGGAACAGGGAGAAGTTGGATGGGGCTGGACCTGGAGCGCAAGGGGAAGATTGTGCGGGGTTGTGGGAGCCTTTGAACAATGTGAGGGTCTATCTTGTCAGGCAGCCTGAAATAAAACCCGGAGGTCTAAGTATCCTCTACGAGGCCCTCATGACCTGGATTCCTGTTACTCCACCCACCTCTGCTTTACCTACTCTGCTATGGCCACGTTACGTCCTTGCCATTCCAGAAACAACCAGACACATTCTTACCTCAGGGCCTTTGCACCTGCTGTTTCCATTGCCAGTGTCTATCCTACCCTAGATATCCACGTGACCCGTTCTCTTACTTCATTCAGGTCTCTGCCCACATGTCACCTCCTCAGAGATGCCTTCTCTGACCCACCATCTCACTATCCTCCCAGCTAAACCATCAACATACAACAGTCAGTAGTTCCCTGCCCTGGTTTATTTTTCTTGCTAGAAAATTACACATAACTCCCTGACTCACAGTCGACAGAGGCCACGTGATCTGTGTCTTGTCTGTGTCTCTCACTGGAGGGCAGCTCCAGGAGGCAGGGACCTTACCTTGCTCTATGCCGTGTCCCTATGCCCTGGGGAGCAGTAGGTGTTCCACAGACACTTGTTGGATGAAGGAATGGGTGAAACGAGTGAGTGGAGGGCACACTGGAAGGAACTGGCTCCTGGAAATTGGGAGGTCTGGGTTCAAGCCCCCGCGGGGGAACCTAGAGAACCTGTTCGCCTCTCTGTTCCTTGGTTCCTCCAGCTGTGCTGTGCGGCATTTGTGGTCTCGAGGTAGGTTCCGGGTTTGGACAGGAAGATTCCAGGCTGCGGAGGGGACAGGGCCTGGGGGAGGAAGGGACTGGGGGCCTCCCCCTGGCCCTCCTGGGGATGAAAATAGCCCAGCTCAGCCCCCAGGGTGGCCCCCCCACCCTCACTGTGGCATCCGGCTGGAGCCAGGGGCCTCTGTGGAACCTGCCAGCCTGGCGCTGGGCTGTGACCGAGGCTGCCTGACAGCTGGGCCAGGCACCATGGGAGGGCCTTAAGGGCAAACTGGGCCTGTTGGTGTCCCCAACCTCCTCCCCCACCCATCCCTCCTCCCTCAGTGTCCACTAGCCGGATAAATCCCTTAATCCTCCATGTGCCTGCAGCGTATCCAGCTTGCAAAGCTCTTTCTCTGTCCGTGTCTAATTTCGCCCCACACAGTGGCTGGTTTCCCGATGGGGACGCTGAGGCTCAGAGAAGTCAGCTGCCTCACTGGAGGTGACACAGCTAAGACATGGTGCAGTTACCGTTAGAACCAAGTCTGGCCAAGCCCTGCCCTGCCAGCGTGTGTGTGTGTGTGTGTGTGTGTGTGTGTGCACGTCCGCGCGCGCGCGCGTGTGTGTGTGTGCCTGTGGGGTGGCATGGCTGCAGTTGAGCCTCACTACCAGCACCTCCCTTCACCGCCGGCCCCCGGGGCTCTGATAGGGTGTGGTGCTTCATGGATCCACAGCCAGGCTGCCTGGGTTCAAATCCCGCCTTTGCTACTTCCTAACGGGAGAGACTGTTGGGACCCCATCGTCCCCCCACCTCAGTGGCTGCCAATAGGACAAATCCCTTAATCTTGGACATTATCAGGACTAACCTTATGCATTGACCGAGTTGAAAAAATTTGTCACCAGTATTTAAGCGTGTAAACCATTGGAAGAATCACATGTACAAACTAACTAATGAGCATCTGTGCGGCCCAAGCACCAACTGTGTGCCCCGCACAGAGCCGAGTGCTCCCAGGGGAGCTCGGTCCTGCAGTAGGGGCCCCTGCAGGGGAGTCCCATTACCATCTCCTCCTACGGAGGCTCAGAAAGGTGAAGCCACATGGCTGAGATCACACAGCCAGGGAGGAAGGTGAGTTTGGGGGTGGCTGAGGCCCAGCCCTCACCTCTCTGGGCTTCTTGAGACCTAGTGGCGTTTATTCAGGCAGATGTGTCACTCCCTGTCTACATCTTGGTGTTGCTCTTGGCAAAACAGGGTGGGGCAGTGGTGAATGGCGAGCTTGCCCCGGCTCAAGGGGTGGAGGGGCCCCGTCCCAGTCCACGGTCACCCCCCAGGAACGTGGGCTCAGTGGGGTCAAAGCTTCTGAGTTCTCATGAGAGTCAGGATCTTAAAAAATGTTGAATATGTTATTGTCTCGCTGTTTAAATGTGGGTAAGTAACTATCTGAATGTAAAAATACCCCACACAAAGGGTATAATGTTTGTTACGCCATTGTTTGTTGCAGCAAACAATTGGAAATATCCATCAGTGGGAAGTGGTTAAATTGATGGGAGCTCAGCACGCAATGGGATCCCACGCAGCCATGGGAGGCGCCCTGCACACGTTTGATTTCGATGGCAAGACACAGGGCGAGATGTGGAACGGCATGCGCACGCGGTGTGCTGCTGTGTGTGGAACCCGGAGCATGTGTGCATACACTCAGGTACAGGCGTAAAACCTCCCTGAAGAGCCACCCGGGAGCCCTGCACAGTTGCTGCCTGCAGGGGAACCGGCTGGCTGGGGCCAGGGCTGGGCACGAGACTCACTCCTTACTTTTTGTACCTTTTGAATTTTGAACCCTGTGAATGCATATCTGTGCAGAAAAAATAAAAATAAATTTAAATAAAGTAGACAGCAAGAAACCTGAAACAGACGGACAGACAGACAAACATCAGGCCTGCAGGCCCAGTCAGGTCCCCCCTCTTCTGGGGCAACCACAGACCACATTCTGGGCTCTGCCCAACTTGGTTTTGTGGCTCTACCCTCTACGGTAATATTTTGGTTTCCCCACGCACAGCACCAGTGGGAAACTCCAGCCAATGGGCATCAGGTTCCAGGCTGGGCCACCTGCCAAGGTTGGTGGTGGGCAGGACACAGCCCCAGAATGGCGTCATCCAGATGCCTGAGTGATGACATAGCCCCGGATGGAATGATGACACTTCCCGCAGTCTCACAGGCCCTGCAGGTCTGCTGTTTGTCTTGCAACCTCCAGGTGGGTGTATGGACACCAAAACAACCAACCGTATTAACTCACTCTGAGCCTTCAGGGACTGAATTCATCTATCCACCCACCCACCCATCCATCCACCCGTCCATCCATCCACCCATCCATCCATCCATCCATCCATCTGCCCATCCATCCATCCATCCAATATCCATTCAGCACCTACTATGTACTAAATCCTCTTCTAGGCACTGAAGATACAGCAGAGAACAAAACAAATAAAATTTCCTGTCCTCCAATGGGGAGACAGGCAGTTGTAGCAGAGAGTGGACATGCTGTGGAGAAAGCAGCAGCAGGGGAGGGAGATGGAGGCACTCTACGTTTTTCCCTTTTGTGTTGAGGTGTAATTGGTATGCAATAAAATTGACCCACTTTAGGTGTATGGTTTGGTGAGTTTTAATGGTTGTATACATCTGCGTATCCACAAGTTATAAGACATTTCTACCATCCTGTAAATTTCCTCCATGCCCCTTTGCAGTCGATCCCAACTCCCACACCACTTCACGTCTAGGAAACTGCCGGTCACTCTTCCTTGGCTGAAGATCGGGTTTGTCTTTTCTGGAGTTCACATAAATGGAATCTGGCTTCTTTCATTCAACATGATGCATCTGCAATTCATCCATTTCGTTGAGTGTTCGTTCCTTTTTATTGCTGAGTATTCCATGGTACAAATGTCCCACGTCTTGTTTAATCATCCAGCCTGGTGACAGACACCTGGGTTGTTTCCACTTTCTGGCTGTTATAAATAAAGCTACTGTAAACATTCATGTACCACTCTTTGTGTGCACGTGTATTGTCATTTCTCTTGGGCATGTACCTCGGAGTGGAAATGCTGGGTGTACGTGTATGTTTAACTTTATTAAAAACAGGGATTGTGCTTTTAAATAGGCTGGTGGGGGAGGGCTTCACTGGCCAGGGTACATTCCAGCAGAGAACAGAAGGAGGTGACGGGAGCCTCGTGGACTCCCATGGGAGAAGAGTGTTCCAGGCAGAGGGAACTGGTGGGGGGTGAGGGGCGGTGCTCCTGCTGTGTTTCAGGAACAGCATGGAGGCCAGAGTGGTGGGAGTGGAGCCAGCTGCGGGGAGAGGGCTAGGAGGTGGGGTCAGCTTTCCTCTGAGAACCCCTGGGAGAGCTCTGAGCAGAGGTGGGGCGGGGTCTGACCTGTATTTAACTTTAGGCTGCCAAGGGGAGAGTGGGCTGCAGGGCTGGAGGGAGGGAGCAGGGGGCGAGTGAGGAGGCCCCCCAGGGTCCTGGCAGGAGAAGAAGGAGCTGGACTGGGGTGGAGTGGCAGAATCTGGATCTACTGTGAAGGTGGAGCCAACAAGGGGAGTACTGGATGTGCAAGGCCACGGAAGTAGAGACATGAAGGTGGGCAGGGACCTGAGGTGGCCTCTAGGAGCTGTGTGACCCCCCCAACCAACAGCCAGCAGGGACGTGGACACCTCAGACCAGCAGCCACAAGGAAGTGAACATCGCAGACCCCCTGAATGAGCTTGGAGAAGACCCTGAGCCTCCACGACGGCACGGAGCCCAGCTGACAGCTTGATTTCAGCCCGGGGAGACCCTGAGCAGAGAAGCCAGCTGTGCTGTGCCCGGCCTTCTGATTGATAGACACTCTAAGGTGGTTTTTTCTTTTTTTTTTTTCTTTTGCTGCTTTTTCTCCCCAAATCCCCCCAGTACATAGTTGTATTTTTAGCTGTGGGTCCTTCTAGTTGTGGCATGTGGGACGCCGCCTCAGCATGGCCTGACGAGCAGTCCCATGTCCGCGCCCAGGATTCGAACCAGTGAAACCCTGGGCCGCTGAAGCAGAGCGTGAGAACTTAACCCCTCGGCCACGGGGCTGGCCCCTAAGGTGGTTGTTTTCAGTTACTAAGTGGGTGATGATTTTTACTGGACAATACGTGACTAATACAGGCATCCTAGAATCCTACTATGTCAGAGCTAAATGGGTCCTTAGCAGCCGTTGAATCCAACCTCCTCATGTACAGATGGGGAAACTGTAGCCCCCAATGCAGACAGGACTCGAACCCTGGTTCCTGCAGGGGGGGCAACCTCAGGCAGAAGCTGCCCCAGCCTGTGGGACCCTTCCAGGCCCGCCTCTCATCTCCTAGGAGGCTGCCGCACCAGCCCGTCTGCCAGCACCTCCTCCATCGGGGCGCTGGCCTCCCCAGAGAGCCAGCTTCTGGCCACCCACTGAGTACCCTCATCTCCCGGGCAGCAAGCTCAGGCAGGTCCCCCACTGGGCCCGGCCACGTAACAGGAGCTGGAACCCTCGCCCCCACAGCAGAGCACGGCCCGAGGGTTCAGGAGCCCGGCCAGAGTCTAGGACCCTAGGGGAGAGGAACAAAGCACAGATTCAGGCCTGGGGACCCTGGCCAGCGTCCCAGCTCTGCTCCTCACCAGCTGTCAGGCCCTGGTTGAGGGTTATTCCTTTGCTGAGCTACAGCATCCACATTTGTGAAGCAGGAGCAGGAATGCTTTCGTCCAGAGGGTCAATGAGCTAAGTGAGGTACGTGGAATCTGGGTGGGGGCTCCGTGGAGGCACAAATGCATGTCCCCAACCTCCTCCTCAGCACGGGCCTAAGTTTCCCCATCTGCTAAATGATCTCGCGCCCTAGATGTGCTTTAGCGGCCCTTGTAGCTCTAACAGTTGACTATCTGGGGTTCAAATTCTGGCTCTGCTTCTCACTAGCTGTGTGACCTCGTATAAATCACTGAAGCTCTCTGAGCGCCAGTTTTCTCACCTGTAAAATGGGGCTATTAATAATACCTACCATGATACGAGAGATGCAGGTCAGATAGCTAGTTGAGTGCCTCAAGAAATGTCAGCTAGCTTTATGATCATCATCATTATTATCGTTCTGGGCATGTGAGCTGGGTCATGTCTGCTGGACAGGGCGGCAGGGCAGAGCCTCCCAGGGGGAGGGAAGTTTGGTTTCCTTGGAGACAAATGTTTGTGGGCTGGGCTGGGCCAACAGCACATGTTTCTGGGAAAACAAAACAATGTCATTTTTCTCCCTCTGGCCCTGCACCCATCTAAGACCAGGCCCGGGATCACAGCACGTAAGCGGTAAAAACACAGGCAGGTTTTGGGAAATAAAAATATGCATTTATTTCTGTTCCCAGGTCCAGAAGCTACTTCCTATTTTTCTCTCGAGGGATGGCAATAGCTTGTGCAAACGCCTGGGGGTGTGCATGTGTGTCAGATGCGAGCTGGGTGTGCCTCACTACGACGTCTCCCCTGGTCGTGCTAGGATCGTGCTCCGGTCCCCTGATCACGGCTGATTCGCTAGTGTTGACAGACACCTGACTGCAGGCTGACAAGTCTCTCCTGGGGATGTGAAACTTGAATGGAGGGCACGCAGGCAGGGGGCGGTGGGAAATGCGCCACCCCTGGCCAGCGCCCTAGAGAGGACAGCCACGGGCTCTGCCACTGAACCCCCTGGACATTCCCGAGGAGTCTTCATGTCTGGGGCGTGCTCTTCTGCCATCCTGGGAACAGCTCTCCATAAATCCACCACTGGGCAACTTGGTGAGTCACTTTCTGGTGTTTGTCACCCAGTTCTCTCTGGCCGATGTGGTGATGGGGGGACAGAGCATTGTAGGGGGGCTGAGGGCAGACTGTGGGAGGGAGCAGTGACCCTCTGGTCTGTGCAGGCAGCTGTGGATGCTTCTGTGCAGAAAGAGCACTGGACTTGGAGTCTGGCTCTGTGACTTACCAGCTGTGTGATCTTGAGCAAGTCACTCAGCCTTTCTGTGTGGTCCAGTGGGGTGGAACCAGGGGGGATCCTGAATGAGCAGATGGGGAAACTGAAGACCAGAGAGAGGAGGGGCTTTACTTAAAGCCACACAGCAGGTTTAGGACAGACCCCGGAGAGCTGCTGGGTCCGCCAAATGCCAGCCCTGAGCGGGGCGTCTGCTGGAGCAGGAAGCTCGTCTCTGACAGCAGGGCCTGCTTCCCCCAAGGAAACGTCACCGACCACAGATTCCCTTCCCCACCGATTGTTGCGTTTGGTCTGGTGATAGCATCAACGTCATACTCGGGGGCAGAGCAAACTGAGCCCAGGGAGGGGCAGAGACTTGTCCACAGTCACACCGCAAGTTCCTGGCAGAACTGGAGTCTGAGCCAGATCTGAAAAGCCCTGAGATTTTGCTCTAAATCAGTGTTTGTCAAGCTGAAGTCCGGGGATGAGCTGGGGACGGTGAGTAACTAGCTCTCCGTAAGAATTTCGTAAATGGTTTACTTGCATTTTGATGATGACCCTGAGAAAGTAACTCAGACTTACTGTGAATCATTGGTGTGACCGCAGGCGAGTCCTGCCTGAGATCGGATGGACTTGAGGTCACACTGGCATCAAAGAACAACATTTATTGAGAACTGACTATGGGCCAGGCCCCATGCTTTGCATTTTCCATGAATGTATCATGTAGTTAACCCTCACAACAACCCTATAAAATAGGTACTATTATCATCCCCATTTCACAGGTCAGGAGGTTGAGGCACAGAGAAGTTAGGTTACTTGCAACCAGGTCAACAGCGAGTAAGGGGTGCATCCGAGATTTGAAGCCAGGCCGACTCCAGAGCCCGTGGTCTGGACCACTGTGCTTTCCCACTGCCGTCAGCTCTGGGCGATGGGAAAGGGGCAGAGGCGGCCTTGATGCGGAAGGACAAATTCCTGCTAAGGGCAGGCCGAGCGAGGCAGAGGCAGAGAGTGGGAAGGACGTGTCGCTGTGGGTGAAACAGAGCCACCGGGTGGGAGAAGAAAGTCATCAGCTCACGGAGTTGGCTGGAAGGGTGTGACGAACCCGAAAGAAATGGCAGCAGGGCTGGGTGTCCCATGTTCACACTGCCAGTGACAATTCAGGTTTAGCAAAGGCACATTGTCCGTGTCACTAAATTACCGTTGCTGCATTGATGCCATGGCAGCATACCTCACAGCAGCTAGAGCCGCAGGCTTCAGAGTCATGATTCCTGAGTTCAGATCCATCTTCCTCTTCGTCCTCAGACTATGGGCAACTCACTCGGCCTCTCTGAGTCTCAGTTCTTCTCAACTCTGAAATGGAATTATAATAGCATCTGAAAGACTGCTAATTGCCTATGCAGTTCCCTTCTCTCCTTTCACTTTTTTGACCAAACCCTGATGTTATGCCTGGTGGCAACATACCCAGCTAAAACACTACATTCTCAGCCTCTCTTGCAGCTACTGGTGGCCAATGAATGGAAGTTGTTAGGTGAAGATTCTGGGAAATATCTTTAGAAGACACTGATGCAGCTGGGAGGAAAGCCAATTTGCCCTTCCTTCTCCTTCTTCCTACATGGGACTCAGGCATTATGGCTGGAGCCCCAGCAGCCATCTTGGATCAAGAAGTGACCTTGACGATGAAGCCGTATAGTAAGGATGAAGCAACACAAAGCTAGAAGGAACCTATGACGTTGATGACACCGTGAACCAGCCCTGACCTGGACTGATCTTTCCAGACTTCTTTTTTCAAATGAACTTTTTATTTCAGAACAGTTTTGGATTTACAGAATTGTTGCAAATATAGTATGGAGTTCCTATATACCCTATACCCAGTTTCCCCTATTATTAATATTTTACATTAGTATGGTACATTTATCACAATTAATGAACCGATATTGTTACATTATTATTAACTAAAAAGTTCACCCTTCATTTGGATTGCCTCTGTTTTCCTGAATGTCCCTTTTCTGTTCTAGCATTCCATCCAGGGTCCTGCCTGACATTTAGAAGTCATGTCTCCTTAGGCTCCTCTTGGCTGTGACCGTTTCTCAGACTTTCTTTGCTTTTGATGACCTTGATGGTTTTGAGGAGTACTAGTTAGGGATTTTGTAAAATGACCCTCAATTGGGATTTGTCTAGTGATTTTCTTATGGTTAGAGCAGGTAATGTGTTTCGGGGGGAAGACCACAGAGGTAAAGCGGCATTGTCCCCCTATTCCATCCAGAGCAGACACTGTCAACGTGACTTATCAGCGTGGATGTGAGCTCTGGTCACCGGCAGGCTCTCCACTGTAAGATTTCTTTCCCCCTTTTCCATGCTGTGCTCCTTGGAACCGGTCACTGTGCCCAGCCCACACTTAATGAGTGGGGAGTTATCTTCCCCTCCCTAAGGGTGGAGTAGCTGCATAAATTATTTCGAATTCTTCTGCATGGGCAGCTTGTCTCTTCTATTTATTTGTTTACTTATTTACATCAGTATAGACTCATGGATATTTATTTTATTCTTTGGGTTATAATTGTTACGACTTTTTTTTTTTTTGCTGAAATTGTTCCACCTTTGGCCTCTTTCAGTTAGCTCCCCAGACTTCTTGACGTGACAGAAAAACAAACCGGGGTAGACATTTTGCAACAAGTCTCCAATTCCTCCCGTTTGTGTATGCTCACGCCTTTACAATGTGACTTTGCAGCTTCCCTCATCAGGACCTGAATTGCTCTCTGTCCCTGGAATCTGGGCTGGGCCATGAGACTTGCTTTGGCCAATACGAAAAGGCCAAAGCATGAAAAGAGCTTGTGTGTGGGGCTTGCTGCACCAGGGACCCTGAGACCACCATGCGAGCAAGCCCGGGCGAACCTGCTGGAGGATGAGAGGCCATGTGGCCCGGTTGCCTCCACCGCCCTTGCCTACAGCCAGACCACAGCCATGTGAGGGAGGCCTTTGACCGTAGTTGACTGCAGATGTACGATGAACCCAGAGACCAGCCGTCCCCACTGGGCCCAGTCCGAGCTGCCAGCCTACCGAGTCATGCGCAAACCAACGGTTAGTTTAAGCCACTAGGTGTGAGATAGTTCATTATGCAGCAAAAGCTAACCGCTACACAGCTCTTTTCTGTCATTAGTCTGTGTTATCTGAGTTTTCTGGAACAGGAAGTCAAACCTAGTCCTAAACAGACACAGAATTTATTCAACAGGGAAATTGTGAGAATTTAGTGAGTGAGACAGTACATAGCAGCCCCTGACAGATTACTTATAATAGTAATAATAATGCTTATTATTCCTAGTTTTGTAGTGCGTTAGTATTTAATTTGTAGTCTTGTTTCAGTTTTTTGCTGTTTGAGATCTATCAGCTGGAGCGGAGACCTCATTTATGATTGTGCACAAATAAGTAACCTTCTGGCCATGCCCTCCAGCCTCGGACCACCAGGATCACCCCTGTAGGTAAACAAGTGGGGTTCGTGACTCATTGTGGCAAGAGAGGATACGTGCCGTGGGGAACCCAAGGTGTCCCTGGAAGGGGGGTGAGAGACGGCTTGTATGGGATCCGGGCTTGTGTCCGGAGGTTCGGAGGAGAGTTTAAGGAAGTGGGGTTCTTCTCCGGGTTGGATGCTGTCAAGAAGTGGGAGAAACTAGATGGTTGGGATCCTGGTAAATCTTCTCTACAGAGAAGGCAGACGGGAGCCAGGATAACGCTGTCAGGGGAGAAGAGGCAGCCGTCACAGGATAGCCAGCACGGGGGATGTTTGGTCATTTTTGTGCCTTGGAAATGTTTACGTTTCGAGTTCAGACGTGATCACAGAGTGATCTTGCTTTTGTCTTGGTTCATCAGTCACAGAGCGTCTTGTCCGAGGCTGATGTTCTGCGGCATTGTGTTCCACAGGACTTGGCTGTCACCCGAGAGGCTCAGGTGGTTCGGAGCACCACCCAGGCCAAGTGGTCCCGGCCAGCTCCTGGGGGCAGGCTGCCTCCTCTTCCTCCATCTAGCAGACACTGGTGGGTCCCAGAGGATGCCTTCTCCCGCCAGAGGGCCGGCCAGAACTCAGGTTAGAGCACAAGCTCATTGCTGCTCAATTCGGGAGGGCATCTCAGCTTCTTTTCTTCTCCCACAAGTTTTCCTTTGTCATTTACATATTATATCAACAATATCCTAATCATATAGTGATAGTATTAATTACACATGAGTGGATTATATTAAGAATACATTATATTCATAGTCAAGTCCTTACTACGTACCATGTACTGTGCTGAGCATTTTAGATGTATTAATTCGAGGATTCTTAACCTGGGGTCTTACTGGGTCCATGGGTGGAATTTATCTTCACTCACCTCTAATTAAATTCAGCACTTCTTTCAATCGCAAATGTAGGAATCATTAGTGCCTGGAACTTTCTCGCCATAGAAATCATAGTACTTTCACATTCGACCACAGTGGTATTGAGATCTCAGAATATTGCTGACACTCGTCTTGACTTAGCAATTGCAGTACTCATTGAGATCCACCGCTAGGTCTCATGTGTTAGCAAAGAAGCAGACATAAGACTATATCACAACTGTGTTCTTTAAAATATCTTGACGGATCATTTGTGGCCATCACGTGCTAATCCTCACACCTGTGCCTCCTGCATCAGTTATGACAGCTCTGCGATGTTACAAGGAGCCAGGGCAGCATGGAAAAAAAGTGGCAGGAAGTCACTTCATCCCATTTCTTCATTTAAAGGACAGAGACAACTACTTGCGAGTTGTGAGGATTAAATGAGATATTATATTTCCTCCATTCTAAATGGTAGTCTTTACATCTGGTTGATGCTCTGTCTGAGGAAATTTGGGCAGAAAGAGAAAATAATAACTTATACCTTATCTAGTGTCTCATTTGGGAGCTGGTTTTTAGATGGCTTTACTGGAGTGACGCTGACACGCAGTAACCTGCACGTTGTTACCGTGAACTATGTGGAAGTTGTCACCCGTGGACACAGCTGTGCAGCCATCAGCACAGTCAAGAGGATGAGCGTGTCCATTGCTGCGCGTATGATTTAGAGGAAGGCGTCGTCTCAGAGCAGGAGCTCTGGGACCTCTTGTTCCTGATTTTCAGAAAAGACGAGAATAGTCGTCCAGTCCGTGTCACTACCTCATGGCTCAGTTTCTAAGCCCAGGAAAGACGACACCAGACACCTGGGCGTCCATCCTCTGCTGCCTTCTGAAACCCCTCACAGCTGAGCTCTTACACCATTTGGGCTTCTTTAGCTTCAAGTGACAGAAAACCAACTCAGAGTTGCCTGGGGCCCGCCCCCTGGCCGAGTGGTTAAGTTTGCACGCCCCGCTTCACTGGCCCAGGGTTTTGCTGGTTTGGATCCTGGGCGCGGACGTAGCAGTGCTCATCAAGCCATGCTGAGGCGGCATCCCAAACAGAACTAAAGAACTTACAACTAGAATATACAACTATGTACTGGGGGACTTAGGGGAGGAGAAGAAGAAGAAGAAGGAAAAAAAGAGGATTGGCAACAGATGTTAGCTCAGGGCCAATCTTAAAAACCAAAAATCGTTGTGTGCGCACACACATACTTAAAATTGCCTGAGCAAAACAGAACTTTTACTGGTTCAAGGAGCTGAAAAGTCCACAGTGATGCTGGCTTCAGGTACGGCTTGATTCAGAACTCCAGACGTCATCTCTGGGCCCTGCTTTTCTCTTTGTCCTCTCACATGGGCAGGCTCTCCTCAGGAAAGCAATGGCAGCAGCAGTCCCAAGCAGTGTGTGAGAAGAGGCTGGAAGGATGAGGGGGCTCAGACCCTCCAGGGCTTTCTTCTTTACTCCTGAGTCAAGTGGCGGTGGGCAGCCATGAAAGGGATTTTAAGCTTGAGAATGACCTAATTAGATTTGCATTCTGAGAGGATCACACCAGCCCTGGGGCACAGCCAGAATGGTAATAAAAAAAAATTCTTTATTTAAAAATCTTTTCCTTTAAAACAATCACAATAGAGTTGGCACTGGGCAGATTCTGGGTTCCTTTCTTGGGATCTCATGTCTTCCCACAAGCCCCTGGGAAAAATGTGTATCACTTAAGATTTTAATCCCAACAACAGTGGCTTAAACAAGATAAAAGTTTGTATCTCTCTTGTGTAAGTTGGCCCAGGGCTGGTGTGGCAGCTCCACAATCAAAAGAAATCTAAGCTCCTTCTATTGTCCCACCCCGCCAGCCCCGTTTGTGGCTTCAATCCTCAGACTCGCCTCATGGTGCAAGCTGCTGGTGCTCCACCCATCACACCTACATCTCAGGTAAAAGGAAAGGGGAGAACAAAGGGGTCCACCTTCTGGTTGGGTCAGCATTCCCATTTTCCTAACATGACATCTCTTCTTACATATCATTTCCCAGAACATGGTCACATGCCATACCTTAACATCAAGAGAATCTGGGAAATGTGACCTTTATATGGGCACATTATTACCCAGAAGTGGTGTGTGTGTGTGTGGTTTTTTTTAAAAGGCCGTACATTCTTTGACACACAGCGAGAGGTGGGGTCTGTCACCGTCCCCCTGCCTCTACCCGCACTCCGCAAATCGGGGCTGGGGCTCAGAGACCCCTTTGACCAGCAGAACAGGGCAGAGTGATGCTTTTATAAAGTTGTTTACCACACCAGGTCAGAAAAGGCCATGTGGCTTCTTCCAGTTTGGCTCGGAACCAAGACTGGCTTCACGGGCGTGTGACTCACTTAGCTGCACAGGGCCCTGTGCTCAGAGGGTCATTCACTTGTGTCAACGCTCTGCCGCAGTCCTGAAATTCTTAGAGATTTTATCTTTGACCTTGTTTTGTGAGTAAAGTCTGATGGGACAATGGAGCATGCGCAATGCAGAGGACATGGGTGCCCCAGTTCCTTGCCACCCTATCAGTACACGCGTCTGTGATGCTGCTGCACGGCGTCCGTGACACGCTTACCTTGTGTGTGGGCCCTGTGCTCAGAAGGGCTCCTCTCTTGTTTTAATGCTCTGCTGTCACATCTCGAAATTCTTAGCAGTTTTATCTTTGGACTTGTGTGTTGGAAGTGAATTCCGACGGACAATGGAGCGTGCACGTGAGCGGAAGAGATAAACGCAGTCTGGGTGTCCGCCATCCACACAGCGTGTTCACAGCGTCCCACAAGCAGGGAGCTCTGGTGGCCCCACAGTGCAGGGTCATTCAGCGAGACTCCGGTGAGCACAAGGTGAGCATGTGGCGTCTCAGATCGAGTAAGTAGGGGCGCATCCCAGAGGCCACGCTTTCTGTTCGAACCAGGATTTCCTTTGGTCACGGAGACAAAGCCAGTGGTGTTCTAAGAAACACAGACCACCCGGCAACCTTGTCATATCCTTTCTTATCCATGTCACTTCTCTGTATCAGCCAACCGCTTACACTGAAAATGATGAGACACGGGACACAGCACTGTTCCCCTTCCTGTCCTTACTCATCGGTAAGTAGGAAGCCGGGAGTCTTGGCAGAAGGCGTGACTACCAAGAAGTGAGATAAAAACAGTCGTGTCAGTTTGGGGCAGCAGGTCCGCTGTCCTGGCGAGGATGAAATGCACGAGGATGAGCTGTGAAATCCCGGTGGGGTCATTTCAGCGATTCCACATATGAGTTAATGCTCTTCCACTGGCATTTAAAACTGACATTGCACAATAGGACGATGAATAGTAAAATTCATGCTAATCATTTAACATCTTCGTTTTTCTTTACTTAGAATAACATTTAGTAGTAAATTAAAAACACCATGACAAGACGAGACAGGGATTAAAAGAAAGGAGAGACTTTTTATTCCATATCTACACTGGCACTTTTTCCCTACTTTCTGGACAAGGGGCACCGTATTGTGTTGCTGGCCCGGCTTGGAAGCTTGCTGTCAGGACGCTTCGTCTCAGAACCCAGTCGCCATGTGGTGAGGACCCAACCCCCAGGGAAAGGGCGTGTGTGGGTGCCCCGGTCTACAGCCCTACCCAAGCCCAGCCTTTGAGTCACCCCAGCCGAGTGACAGAAATAAACCTCCAGAGGATTCCATTCCCGCCTCTGCCGGCCTTCCCCACACCGCGCCCAAACTTCCAGACGCCTGCGTCGAGCCCAGCCCTCGTGGAGCAGAGATAAGCCATCCCCACTCGGCCCCGTTTGAATTCCTGACCTCCAGAATCGTGCGACTGGGCGAGTGCAATGAGCAGAAATAAACGGGCCGCAGTTTATTCATTTGGGTTGGTTCCAATCTTTTGTGAACACAAATGGAGCTGCAATGACTAACTCTGTGTGTATAATCTGTACGTTCAGAGCAGATTCCTGCAAATGAGGATTACCGTGTCAAAGGGGAAACGCGTACGTAATTTTGTTAGCTGTTGCCGACATCCTCTCTAAACTCTTCTTTTTCCCCATGTAGCTTTCTTTGTGTTTACGGCATATTCGTTCACGTCTAACGCCCGCCCCCCGCAACATACCTGTGTGCAAACAGAGAAACACACACGGAGAAAAATGCGCAAATAAACGGACAGCTTGACAGATTTGCACAAACCAAACATGTGTGTGTAAATCTCACTTGGGTCCAGAAACGAACATTCCTGGCACCCCAAAGCTGCCCTCGCCCCCTTCCCGTGAGGACTCCCTCCCGTGGTGTGCATTTACCACCGGTGATCCATCCCGTCTGGCCTTTCCAGTTGGGGGCTAACGTGTCCCACGCTCTCTGGCTTCTGTTGGGGTCACCAGAACCTGCTGCACAGGAGTCAGGCTCGCTGCACCCTCCCTGACCTTTCTGTTGGGTTGTTGTTCTCAGACTAGGTTCCTGTGGAACCCTGGGGTCCTTCCCCAAACAACAAGAAAAGAACAAATGGATGGCTCGGCCTCTCTAAGTTTACATATTTCCCTCAAACCTTTGGGGTCCACTCCCACTTGTGTGCTACCGAGTTTCCCTGATGACAGATGTTCAAGAAACAGGAGGTGATGGGAAAACCCAGAAATGCTCCATGATGAGAGGCCGCGTTGGGAATAACAGTGGTCACCATGCATGGAGTGGCGTTTGCAGGGGGCTGGGTCTTCCAAATACAGCAGGTAGATTTTCTCTAAAGCCTCGGCAGGACAGGTATGGTGATTCCTGTTTCACTGGGAGTGAAAACTCAGGTTCTGAGAGGGGAATAAGTTGCTCAAGGTTACACACTCACACTGGAGGGTGGGAAAGCCTGCAGCCTCTGGGCTTCCCCATGGCCCTGGCTTCCTGCTGTGTAGACCACATCTTCTTGTGTTCTCTTCTCAGCCCGGCACCCAAGGCCCTGCCTACCTCTGCCCCTACCAGAGCTCTGGCCTCTGCCCCTTCCTGACTCTCCGAAGCTTTTCCCTGGGCCAGCCCCTGGGCCTTTGCACATGCTGTTCCCTCTTTTTCCTCTTCCCCTGACCCCTCCTCGTTATTCAAGGATGCCTTCCCGGCTGGTTGGCGCCCCTGCTCCAGCCGCACCGTACGGCAGCTCTGTCACATTCATTGTACTTTTTGTTTTCTGGTTAACTTCTGCTCCTCCATCCACTGCAGACGGTAAGCACCTTAGGGCAGGGGTCGGTCTGTCTCATTCATGGCCCTGTCCCCAGTGCCTAGCACAGTTGCTGGCACGTAGTAGGTACTCAATAAATGCTTGTTGAGGGAAGGGACATCTTATTTGAGTCTCAGGGCAACCATGTGAAGCAAGCAGGGCTGGGCTGCTCACTCCCAATTTACAGCTGAGGAGAGTGAGGCCCAGACAAGGAAGGGGTCAGTCCAGTCCCCTGGGATTTGCGGACACAGCCAGGCCCGGGTGACAGTGGTCCTGATGCCTCTTCCAGCGCCAGGGGGCAGGTGAAGGCTGAGGGAAGGGGCTCAGCTGGCCGGGGGCCTCCAGGGCTCCCCAGACTAGAATCAGACAGCGTGGCCTGCCCTGCCCCTCCCCTGCCCAGCGCACAGCGGGGAGGCAAAGAAGGATGCTCAGTCCTACTCGGAACAGAGCTGGGGCGGCATGATGGCCCATGTGCTCTGAGGCCAGGGGGTCAGGAAGTCAGAAGCAGGAAGGAAGGTCCCGTCCCTGCCCCAGGAGGGTCCAGTGGGGACACCGGCCTTTATCTTCCTGTGTGACTTTCAAGCACTGGCCAGCTTGAACTCGGCAGTTGCTTATGTATTTATTTATTTTCTTAACTTTAACTTTGGTCACAGGGAACCTAAGATCACGGTGAACACGCTCTGGAAGCAGGTCCAAAGCCACCTCCGTGACCCCTTGCTGTGTGAGTTTGGCCAAGCGACTTTGCTTCTCTGGGCCTTGGCTTCCTCATCCCCATGAAAGGGGGAGCTGGTGAGAGTACCTATCCCACAGGGTCGTGATGGGGCTTCCACGGATGTTCTAAGGGAAGTTCTTCGTGAGGTGCCTGGCATAGAGAAACAGCCGGAGACAACATCGCAGAGAGCTCACGGTGCAGGGGCCCTGTCCCGGGTGCCGTACAAGCCGCTTGGCCGTCGCGGGGATTTTGGAGGCTCTCCTGTCCTCCCTGGAAGGGCAGAAGTGGGACCTGGACCCAGCTCTCTGCAGAACCTGTGGGCTGAACCAATAAACCATGCCCCTTACAGAGAGCTGCCACTGCACGCTGGGCCCTGCGTTCCATGCCACATAAAGGTCAAGTGGACACGGGCACTTCTCCCAGGACAACCGATGGCCCTCTGGGACCCTTTCTCCAGAAGGAATGCTTCAAGTCTGAAGCTTCTCAACCCCAGTTTTAGACACCCTGGAGCAGAGGTGGAGCTGGAGAAGGATTGAGCTAGGTGATGAAGGGCCCTGAGTGCAAGCTGAGTGTTAGACTTTGTGCTCAGGGTACTGGGGAGCCACTGAAGGCTCCAGGCAGGGGAAGTGACATGACTGTAGGCCAAGAGGGTGCAAACCTGGAGATGAAGCCCTCTTGGGAGGCTGCTGGGCTCTTCCAGGCAGATGAGGCCAGGGTGAGGGGGTGGGGGTCGGAGGGGAAGCAGTGCCAGATGCCCTGGTTCCCTTCCTGCCAGCTGGGAAATGGCACCTTTGGGGGAAGCTGCCCTGGCCCCAGAGAGAGAAGCTATGGCTGAGGATGGCAGAGCCGCCCACTAGCCATGGACTCAACTCCAGACTTATACGGAAGAGAAATATTTGACCCACCGAGTTTTGGGGTCTTTTTGTTATAGCAGCTTAGCCTGTACCCCATCACTGTGTGACCTTAGGCGAGGCACTTTACTTCTCTGAGCCTCAGTTTCCACATCTGTAAAGTGGAGGTCATAATAGAACCCACCGGGACTCAGAGATGGTGCACGTGGAAGCAGCACGGGGGAGGCATGAGGTCAGTGCCCTGGGTTCGCTGGAGTCCCGCTGGCGGACCCCCTGTGGGAGACTCTCCTAACCCCTACTCAGGCTGAGGGCAAGCCCTGATTTCCTCTTCCTCCCTCTGACTCTCCCAGTGGCGCCTGGCTCGGGGCGGTGGACACAACAAGGCCCTTGACGCAGATTTATACAGTCATGGGATCTGGGTGACTCTCAGACAAAGGTGATCCCTCTCCTGTATTTTACAGACTGGGAAACAGGTCTAGAGAGGGGAAGCTCCACACAGAGAGGCGGCTGGGTCCAGTCCTTGGCGGGCCTTGGGGTGGGGATTCCGTCTGTGATGTAGGTGCTCAGAGAGCACATTCTCCAGCACTCTCCCCCACTTGCTGTGCTCCAGCCACTCTGGCCTCCTGGGAGCTCCTTGTGACCACCTCAGGGCCTTTGCACATGCTGCCCCATCTATGGGCCTACTCCTCCCACAGCTCTCCACCTGGCTGCCTCTTTCTCACCTTGTTCATCCTCCATTTAAGTATCACCTCCTCAGAGAGGCTGTCCCTGATCCCCCTAAGGTGGACTCTCTCCAATCTCTTATCTCTACCTCCTGTTTATTTTCTTCATTTACAATATATTGTTAGTTTTTCAAATTTTGAAAAAAATGCGGTTTTGGCCAATCTCTCCCTCTAGCCAGTTAAGCTCTATGAGTACAGCACTGTGGATGTCTGTCTTAGTCACTGCTCCATCCCCATCACCCAGCCAGGCCTTGGTACAGGCAGGTCCTCAATACACACTTGCTATGTGAATGAATGAATGCATGCATAAATGAATAAACGCATGAATGAATGAACCAGGCCTGGATGTCCACCCTCACACTGAACTCACATCACTTCCCCGTGAACTGGATTCCAGTCTCCCCGTTGTGCAGATGCGGAAAGAGGCTCAGAGAGGTCTCACAGGGCAGGGCAGGAATGTGTTGGACGCTAAACGCTGTGTGCCCCACACACGAGAACCTCAGCTACGCAAGCCCATGTTAATGTAACACAAGAAAGTAACGCCCTTATGCTGGATGTGGCCTGGACCAGACTCCATTCCCTGAAGGGCTGCTCCGTCAAAGGATGCTGATGCTGGTGTTGCCAAGGCAACGCTGTTAGCTTTCTGAAGCATCTTTAAATGGGAGAGGCGAAGGCTCACACAGACTCCGAGGGGGAAGAAAATCTGGAGAAAGGGGTTAAATGCTCCAGCCAAAGAGACAAACCCCCCTGATGCTGGCTGCTCCCCCACCCCTTGCCAGGGCCTGCCTTCTACCTCGCCCCTGGATGTCATCCCTGGAGTGTGCACAGGGAGCTCTCTCCCCTGGTGGAAATCGTTTTCGCTGGGAACATGCAGAGATCTTGGGAACAACGTGTTCTGCCCATCTGGCTCCATCAAGACCTTCCAGGTGCCAATGAGAAAGACAGACTGGTCTTTCTCCAGAGAAAGAGAGCTTTCCAGAATGTTCTTCAGCCCTTGATATGGGTGGAGAGGACACCAGCCCAGCATTTCTGTGGTTGGTGCCAAGATGCCTCCAGAGAGCTCTGGATGAGGGAGGCAGCTCATAGATGTAAACGCACTGGAGGAGGTAATTGGCTGTGCTGTCTTGGAGAAAACCCTTTCCCTCTCTGAGCTCTAATTTCTTCATCTCTAGAATGGGGAGAACACTGGTCTGACGTAGAGAGGTGACAAGGATTCTGCAGGAACCAGCAGATGCAGATACCTCAGAAGCCAGTTCTTATGAGCAGCGGCCCCCAGGACACCCTGCCAAGGCCAGGGCCCAGGCCACATGAGCTATGTCCCCACAGGGCCTTGTCCACTGGGGGGCCTCCAGCTGGTCTTGTCTGCAGCCCCTGTGAGTCAGTGTCACTGTCAGTGGGCTTTTAGAGCTGTGCAGTTGCTCCGTCCTTACTGCACAGCTGGGAAACGGAGGCTCCGAGAGAGCCAGGGGCTCTGCCCCAGGGGCAGAGCCAGGACTGTGAACGAGGAACCAGGGTCTCATGTCTCTGGGCAGGACACAGCTGTGCCCCTAATAGTCGGGGGTAACCTGGGGACGAGCCGGAGCCTGGGGCCAGGGAGGGTGTGAGCGGGGGCAGAGATGGAGAGAAGAGAGATGGGAGTCAGAGAGATGGAAGGAGAAAGGGATGACGGTTCTTGCCTGCCCAGCATCACTGCTTCCTGAAAGAGCACCTCAGTTTCCCCACTGCTAGTCGACATGACTTGGGTGGGACTGACCCCAACCCCTGGTTCCAGGCATGATCACGTGACCCAGGTCAGGTCAATGAGAATCACAGTGGTAAGTGCAGGGATGGGCACAGGACCGTCCTGGCTGGAGAGAACCAGGCCTTTGCTAGAGCCACTGGGACAGAGGACCTCTCTGTCTTAGGGATGCTCAGCTGGGAGGACATGAGCCTGGGGCTGGTGGGGCCGTCTTGTCAGGAGAGAACATGACTGAGAATGAAGTCAGCATAGCAGGTGGCGGGGCCGAGAGGGACATCATTTGAGCCCCTGGATCTAACCATGCCTGAATCTGGCCCTAGACCTCCCACTATGTGAGGCAATCCACTCCTTAGGATAGTTTCTATTCCTTGTGCTGGAGAGTCCTGGCGTAGATGGAAAATAAGAAGGAAGGAGGACTATTTAAGAACAGGTGTCTGGGGGTGACCCAAATCAGCTTCTTAGCCTTTTTTAGGAAACTGGAGTGCCATCAGGGATTCGGGCCTTCACCGCATGCAGAGCAGTCTGTCCCTGGGGCTCACAGCTTTGCCCTCACCTCCTCTCCAGCACACAGCCAGCCTATAAACCCTGCTGGGCAAAAATAAGTGCTGGGGATGCAAAAATAAATGCTTACCCACCTGGGCCCAGGAGAAGGGGTGGCATGCACCCCACTCACCTCTCTGGGAACTAACATTTATTAGGCACCTGCTTCACACCAGGCCGTGTTAGGAAGCTGACATATGGGTCTCATTTCCTCCTTGCCACAGCCCAGCGAGGAGGGAGTATCATTATCTCCACTTCACAGATGGGACAACTGAGGCCCTGAGAGGCTGAGCCACTGGCCTCGAGTCCAAGAGCTGGAGCAGGTCTGTCCGGCTGCAAGGCTCCACGTGCCACACTGCACACAGCAGGCGCTACCTAAAGGCCTGCGGCAAACGCTGTATAAGGCCGGGTGAGCCTTCTGGGCCGCAACCCACCCCTATGTACTTTCCCCTCCTGCCTGAGATGCCACCATTAGCAACCACATCCTTCAGTTCTCCCGACGGAAGTCAGCCTTAGTCCGTGCCGGGTTTACTGGGGGCACTGTCTGAGCTGGGACTTGGGGGCAGAGCCAGGTGGGACGAAGGTGCCCTATTCCCACCACCCCAGCCTCACCCGGGAGAAAACCTGCTGAAGACACAGGTGCATCCTAGCGGCAGGGCAGGTCGGTCCTGGCAGGGCCCAGGTGTTGGCTGAAGATGACAGGACCGTGGTGGCCTCATCAGGACAGAGGAGGGTGACACAGTGAAGCCGGGTGGATGGCGGTGGCCCTCTCTGACCTCGTCCTCTGAGAGCAGCTCAGGAGGAGCCCCAGCTCAGGCAGAGGCCCAGTCTCTCCCACACTCCTCCCTCCAGTGGACCCCCAGCTGCAGCATCCCTGCTGGACAGGGCAGGAGGAGGGGCTGGGGGTTCCGGCTGGGAGGCAGGAAGGATCCAGACCGCGAGTGGTGCTCTGCACAAGGCAGAGGGGACAGTCCCCAGTAGTGCCTGAACTCGAGCGAGGGTGAGCTGGGGTTACAGGGAGTGCCAGGGGGCAGCCCCAGGCCCAGAAGGAGCCTAGAAGGACCCCGGTCCACAGCGCAGACAGGGAGCTTAGTCCCAGACCCTTCTTCAGGGGCAGCGTGCGTCTGCTCTAACCCAAAGCTCCCTTCCAGTGGTTTTCAGAGGCTGTGAGACCGTAACTGTGGTCCTTGTAGCCAGAGGGGGTGAGTACAGATAGGGGTGAGGAATGGGGCCCTGGGGCTCCTCCTCATGATGCGCAGGGACCAGCTTTTTCCAGGGGCATCCACAGCCCCAAGAGATGCTCTGGGATAAACAGGACCCATTTTTCAAACAAGCACATTTGGAGAAGGCTGCCCACTCTAACTCTTTCACGGGCAGTCACAAGGCACATGGCCACATTAAAGGCTCTGACAAGTTCTGCAGATAAAAATGCCTGTTCACACTGATCTAACCTGGTGTTTCCCTCTCTCACTTGACCCTAAGTGCTTTTAGAGCAGAGCTGGAGTTATTCTCTCTGGAACACGTTCTAGGACATGCTAGGGCTAAAGGAACCCCCTTAGAGCTCCTGCAGCCCCTGAGAGACCAGGTCTGAGCTCCAGATGCCAGGGCCTCAGAGGGGTGGACAGCGTGGGGTGGAAATAATGATTCCACTATGCGGTGGACACAGCCTTTTCAGCCTTGAACAGAGGTTCAAGGACATTTCAAGGCTGAGAAAGCCTGGAGCAGGAGATGGCCTTCCCACCGGCCCCAGGGACGGAATCTGGGCCTCGATCTGGGCCGTTTCCTGCCTGTATATACCTTCGCATCTGAAATCCCACCGTCAGTCAGGTATTCCTTTGAGGAGCCAACTTAAGCCTGTTCTCAGCTCATTCAGGGTACTGTGACCTCAGGAGCAGGCGGCCCCTGCCGGAGACAGGAGGGAAGAGGAAAGAAGGATGCTGCAGAGGCAGGATCCCCCAAAGGCCATCGTTTCATAACTTGAGGGGAACTGGGAGGCGGCGGACTCTTCTGGACTCGGGGGGCGACGAGGGCTGGCTGGGGAGACCCAGGAGGTCCAGGACAAGGCCCCAGCACTGTGGTCTGTGTTTGGGTCCCGCTCGTCCAGGGGACCCCGAGCCACGGCTCCTCCTGCGGTCCAGCCTCCAGGCGCGGCTGCTGGTTAGACGGCCGCGGGACGCAGCATCATGCGCGTGGCGCGCAGCGAGTAGCTGGGGCCCTGGAAGTAGTGCCAGCGGATGCCGTTGAGCTTGCGCGCGTGGTGGCGGGCTGGGTAGTAGACGCCGTTGAGGTTGGAGAGGCCGCAGGCGTCAAACCACCACCCTGTGGAGGGGGAAGAAGAGGCTTTGGGGACGCGGGGGCCCAGTGGGGTGAGGGCAGTCCCCTCCCCCAGAGAATAATCAGGGCTGTTGCTTCCTCCGGGAAGCCAGCTCCTGGAGCCGGGCTGGGTGGGACTGGGCGAGGGGCGAGGAGACTCCCAGACCCTCTGCTGGGTGGGGCCTTGGAGAGCGGCTCTCTGATGGTCCCCGTGCTGCTGCTGCTGTCTGCCTGTGTGTGTGTCTCTCTGTCTCTGTCTCCCTCTTTGATCTCTGTTGCCCTGCCTTTCTGTCTCCTGCATACTGTGTCAGTCTGTCTTTCCCTGGTCTGCATTTCTCTCTCCATCTCTCCCTATATAGCTCTCTGTCTCCACTGCTCTATGTCTCTGGCTCAGTCTTGGTGGCTCTCTCGTCTCCGTCTGTCCCTGTCTCTGTGTCTCAGGAGGTCTTTCCTTCTATCTCTGTGCCCCCAACTCTGTCGCTCTCACTCATCCCCATCTCCCACCCTCTGACCTCTGTCCCCCACAAAGAGCGCTGCCTGAGCCAGAGTTGGTGGGGAGCCTCCCCTCTGCCCCTGCCTGGTCTCCCCATGCTGGGCCTGCTTGGCCTGGGGGGTGCGGGGAATTCTCAGGTCTGGGGTTGGGACTGATGGAGCATCGTGCCTCCTGGGCCCCACACTCAGTGTTCCTCCAGCCTGGTCTCAGGCGAGAACTGGTGGTGCCCCTTTTAGGAGGAGGTGAGACCATGGAGGGGACCTCAAGGACCCGGTGGGGGAAGGTATGGAAGGGGCACAGCCAGGCTGGCCTGTGGGTGGGGGAGGCCCCGACCTGCACCCACCTACTGACAGTACCGGGCCACACAAGGACCCCGGTGGGGAGGGAAGGGAGTGTCCAGCCAGGTGAGCCTGTGGGTGGGTGGGGCTTCACCCCACCTTGCACACACCTCCAGATAGCATCTGGGCGCACTTGCAGAGACAGTTGTCATTGTCGGCGTCGCGGGTGCTGAAGTTGGTGCCTTGCAGGACCAGGCTGCTCTGGCGCCCTGCTGAGCCGCTGTATCCACTCAGAGAAAGCCTGGAGGCCACCCGGAGGTGGTGACAGGAGAGGGGCCCAGAGTCAGGCTGGGGCTGGTGGAGGAAAGGCCTCCCCAGGAGGCTGTGTCCCAGGCTGGGGCTCCCCTCTGGTGGTGCTGGGAGGGGGCCCCCAGCCTGGGGTGCTTAGGCTGTCTCTCCTCCTGGATTGCCCTCTGTGCCTGCCACCTCCCAGGAACGGAGGACCCACTGAGTGCCAGGCCTCTCTTCTCACTGAACTTGAGTCACAGACAGGAGTGAGAAGGTCGTGATAATACCAACGCCGAGGACATTGGCTAACATTTTTTTAAACACCTACTGTGTGCCAGGCATTGTTCAAAGCGCTTCACATGGGGGTTAACTCATTCTCATTTAATCCTCACAACACCCTCTTATTCCCATTTTACAGATGAGGAAACAGAGATCCCAAGGGCCACAGGAGCCTGCCCAGGTCTCAGAGCAAATGCAGGGGAGAGCCGATCCCAGCCCCGTGTGGCCTGACTTGGGAGCTGTTGCATTTTCCTCCCCAGCTGACTGTTCTGCACCCCCAGCCCCGGCACACATACTCACATCCACCCACCTCCTCCAGGAAGCCTTCCCTGACCACACCAGCCCTCATGGATGTGCTCCGGGGCGCCCCCAGCCCTGTGACTTCTACATCTGCTGCCATCTGGGGAGGGTGTATATTTTTCTGCCAGTCTGTGAGGACTTGGCGGGCACGTCCAAGCCTGTGGGGTGACTATGACCACGAACTCTTGGGGTGGGACACCTGGATTCAAATCCCAGCTCTGCCACTTGCCAGCTGCACAGCCTTGGGTAGATGGCTTCGCCTCTGAGCTTCAGTGCCTTCATCTGTTAAAATGGTGAGGATAGTAACACTGACAGTGATGACCTTGTTGGGCTGCTGTGATGGGCTGACCTCAGTGTGCGATGAGTCAGCACAGGGCAGGCCCGTGGTAAACGCTCAGTGCATTTAGTGCTGGTTGTTATTCATCCTCCCTATGTCCCAGCCCCAGGCTTCCACTGAGCCAGGCTGGGGAGTGTCGGGTGCCTGTGGCAGGGGAGGGCAGCCCTGGCAGCTGAGGCGGGGAGCCGGTTTAGGAGCAATTAAGAAGGTCCTACGGGTGGAGGCAAGTGGACAGCAGATGCAGCCGGGGCAGCTCAGGGAGGCTCTGGTTCCCCAGGGCAGGGCCTGGGAGACGCCCCTAGTGGGATCCAGAAGGTGGGGCCTGTGCATGTGGCCTGGCTCAGTCCCTGTGCCTCACACCCATGGGCTCTGCCTGTCTGTGGTGAGGCAGGGGCCTGGCCCAGGGCCCAGAGGGCTGTGGCCAGCTGTGGAGCCCTAACTGTGCCCTTAAACATGCCACTGGGCTCGCATGACTGGTGTTGCAAACCCCCCTGCCAAGAGGCCCGCCGGGCCAGGGGCTCCCTGGGGTGGGGACAGGCAGCTGACCCCCCTGCTCATATGGCCCCGACTTCTTCCTGTGGCCACTGAGGGTCCCTGGAGGTCTCAGTGATGTGAGTTCAAGGCCAGGCTCAGGGCCCAGGCTGAGGTTTGGGGTCACACTCAGTCTGGGGCTGCGTGGAACCAGGGCTGGACAGAGCTCATCAGTCTCACGAGGTCACTCCAGCAGCGCTGGCCCCTCTGCTGTCCCCAGGCCCTCAGCGCAGGCTCTGCATCTCTTCCCCTCCCCTCTGGGAACCAGAAAGGGGATCTGAAACCTCTGAGGGACCCTCAAGTCACGGACCAGGAAACTCCACTTGATCACTGTTCAGATGCACTTCAAACATGCTCACAGCTCAGGCCCAGGGACCCAAACACACAAGTCTCTGGGGAGTCCCCAAGTTAGACACACCAGGTGTGCTTTCCACACGTCCACGGGGCTGTGCATGGGGCTGTGTGTCTGTAGTTGGGAGCATCTGAACATGGTTCTGCATGCCTGTATGTGCCTGTGTGTGTTTGTTTTGAATTTGTGCAGGTCTGAGTGTGTGCTCTGGAATCTGCTCCGTGCCTGGGATTGTGTTTGTTGATTGTCAAGAGCTTCTGCGAGGCACGTCTGCACACGTGTCTGGGTGTGTGTGTGGCTAGGCACTGGTGTGAGTCTGTGTGCTCTGTAGGCCCTGTGTGCACCCCTGGGGTGTGGGGAGCCCTCCATACCTGTACTTGTGCCTGTGTGTGCATCTCTGTGTGCGTCTCGCACTTGGAATCGGGTCGGGGGGTGCAGGCGCCTCTGGGAGGCACGCGCCCAGTGTCCCTATGTGCCTGTGCCTTGTCTGTGAACCCCACCCCTTGCCGTGGGCCGCTTCCTCTGCATGCTTATGCATGCACTCCTGCCGGGCCCCAGAAGGCCCCATTATTGGGTCTGACAAACAAGGGTGCCCCTCCCATCCCTGTGCCCTTGCCCCAGCTGCTGACTGCCCATGTGTCGCTGCCTCTGGGCTTCCCCATGGGGGTCCTCCCCCCTCACCAGCTGCTGACTCTGCAGTGGGGGCACAGGGGCCAGCGTCTGTTCTCTCACTCTCCCCTTGGCCCTTCTCTGGCAGTTTCCAGTCCCCCTGTACTTTCCAGGCTCTCCCCCTTCAGTCTCCCAAGCTTTTCCTGATTGAGCAGATACTCTTCTTCATGATCCCAGCAGCCCTTGAAAGAGTCTCGCTCAGGTTGGGGTATCTGCGGCCAGCTGGAGGTCAGCTCTCTTTCTGCCTTTTTTCAGAACATCCCCACTGCCTGGGATGCCCTTCCTATCCTCTCTTTTTCTGGAGAATGCCCACCCTCTATAGGCATCACCTCCTCCAGGCAGGAAGCCCTCCCTGATTGCACAAGCATCTCTGTGCCCCTGTGCTTTCCCCTTGGGCAGCTCCTGTCTCCCCGGGAGTATGGGATTGCCTGTGGGCCCGTTGCCCTGAGACACACAGGACACACTGGACTGTGAACAACTTGGAGGGGTGGGGCCCAGGTCTGGCTCTTCCTTAAATGACCAGTGCTAGCCCGTGGCTGGTACAAGGCAAGTATTTGATATACTGTTATTATTTGGGGCTCTGCAGAGGGTCAAGTAGATGTGGGCCCTTCAAGGCCTGGGCATCGCAGACTGGAACCAGGGTAGGGAGCGCTCCATGGCTCAGATAAAAAGCCAGAGGCGGCGCATCAGATTCACATACGAGATCGTGGCAAGGAGCACCAAATTTAACATATTTAACATACATGTATGTGTTTTTCTAGATAGACATAAATAACAGAGATGTACACAGAGGCAGAAATACTATATTTCTGTCTGTGAATATATTATTGGTATATCTCCAACATTTCCTTAACAGTTACCATATGCTGGTGTCTTTCCACAGATTATCTCAGCTATGAAATAGATACTGTACTTTACAGATGAGGAAACTAAGGCACAGAAAGGTTAAGTGACTTGTCTGTGGTCAGGGGGCCAGTGAGGGATCCAGTCGGGATTCGTACCCGGGCAGCCTGGCTCCAGGGCTGTGTTCTTGAGTGCAATGAGATACTTCTCTGGATAGTTCTTCCCCGAGAAAAACGGCAGATCCTGGACTTAGAGCCACAGAAGCTGCTGCCCAAGAACCGGGTCAGGTGGATGAGGCTGAAGTGCTACATGTGTGGGAAAGATGTACGAGGCTCCCCCAGCTTCCTGCTCTGCACGGACCACGTACCGGGCACCGGGGATGGGAAGTGAAGCGAACTCACACAAGCAGGCCAGCCAAGTGGGTGAAGCGCTGCTCAGAGACAGCAATTACAACAGTATTTGCGAAGCATTTACTAAGGGCCATTTACTAAGTGCCCTGTGTACAGCATCTCAGTCAAGCCTCTGACACTTTGAATAAGGGAGGGACACGCAGGGCACCCATCCTTACAGATGTGAAGGTGGAGGGACTTGCTCAGGTCACTCAGGGGGAGAGGGATGGAGTCAGGACTTAGGCCTTGGCTTTGGTGGTCAGTGGCTTAAGTAGAGGTCAGCAGGGTGTCGTGGCTACTCACTGGTCAGCTTGAGGAGTGGGAAGCATCCAGCTCAGCCCAGACCCTGGAGATGTTTCATTCAACTCTGAACCTTGCAGTTTAAGGAGGAATATTATCAGATTGAGGTGAGTCCCATAAAGAGGGATGTCAGAACCACCTAGCTGGAGGCACCAGGGGCATTGACCAGAAGAGAGTGGGGTGGAGACCCACCACGGAAAAGCCCCCAGAAGTGGACTTAGGCATAAAGCACAGGGGGATAGACAGTCATCAGAGATTCCTCAGGAGAACGTGACCTCCCCATCAGTGGAGGCATTCCAGCATGGCTGGATGATGACTGATTCTAGCATCATATGAAGAACAAGACGACACGTGAGGTCCTGTGAGTGTGAGCCTGTGAATTCAATTCTGTCCTGGTTCAGAGACAGCCAGGATCCAGGCTTATCTTCAAGATCCTCGAGTTTCTCAGAGAGGCAACATCACGTAGTGGAAACACTGTGAGTTCTGGCAGCAGGAGACCCAAGCTCTCTGCCTCAGTTTCCACATCACTAGAGCAGGTACAGCAATGCTCACCTTGGAGTGTTGTGGGGAGGATTAAATGGAGAAATGTGCCTGGGACACAGTAGGTGTTTGATAAATGCTCATTCCTTTTCCTAAACAGAGCCAAGAGCGAGGCTGAGGGGGTGGGGGAGACCTTGATGATTTACAGTATATTTGTATTTAAGCCCATCCTGCAGTTAGGAAGCAGAGGCACAGAAAAGCCAGAACCTTGACTTGCCCAGGTCCACAAAGCGAGCTGGAGCAGAGCCAGAAGGAGCCCAGGTCCCCCGATTCCCAGCCCAGGCTCTTTCCACTTCACCTCACAGCAGAGGACAGGCTGGGAAAGTCACCTCCCCCCTTGTGGGCTTCTGTAAAATGACTGACTTGGGGTAGCTGACCTTGGAATGCCCCTTCCTGCTCCTGGGATGGCCGCATCATTGACATTCTCTCCACCCCACCCAGTGGCTGGGATGTGTTGAGTGCTAACCAGCCGCCTCCAGATCCAGTGACGTGCGCCCAAATGGGGGACAGATGGTAGAAACAGGAGACGCCCAGGGACTGACCCTTGGTGCAGACTCTGTAGCCACTAGCCTGGGGACCTCAGCCCACCCGCCTGCCTTGGCCCCGAGCCCACCTGTACAGCTGCCCCTCACTGCCCAGCTGGAAGTGGTCATACTGGGCGTAGGCCTCGTTGCCTTCCCAGTCTTGCAGCTCCACGCGCAGAGAGTAGGCTGCCCTGCTGGTGAGCTGGTGCACCACTTCATTTCCCAGCCAGTGCTCCCCAGCCGGGTCACCGAAGCCCTGTGGGGAAGGAAGGATGAGGGTGGGCTGCATCTCGAGGAGGAAGACTACACCCCTGGCTGAGGAGCTGGGCTGGGCCAGGCTCCACGGCCACTTAGCCAAAACCACTCTGCCTAATGATCAAGTTCATAAAGTACAGTGTGGGGAGGCCTACGGGTGGGAGCTCCCCACCTCCTAGAGCAAAAAGACTACAACTTTTCTAGATGTAAAATCCTGTTAAAAATAATTGAAATCACATTTCTATGAAGTTCAAGAACAGGCAACACTCATCTGTGGTGACAGAAGTCAGAACGGTGACTACCTTTGGGGGAGTATTGACTTGGAGGGGGCAGAAGGAGAACTTCTGGGAATGCTGGAAGTGTGTGTTGTATATCGAGCTTTGAATGGTGGTCACATGGGTAAGTACATAAATAAAAATTCACTGAGTCTTACGTTTAAGTTTTGTGCACTTCACGGCATGTATGTTAAACCTCAATAAAAACTGAAGATTTTAATCAGCTGCATAAACTGTAGAGCAAACTTCGTTCAGTGACATGACAGGCACTGCAAAATTTCAGCAACATAGAAATGGGAAGCTAGGAGCATTTGTTATCACGAGTGTCCCAGGGAGACAAGAAACCAATGCCCGCGGCCAGAACAATAGTTCAGCACCAAGGACAGGGGCACACGTAAGCCCCACTCCCCACTTTAGTCGTGCTATTTGCCTGATTAGCCTAATGGTTAATACCCAGGACTCTTTTTGCATATTTCTGCCTCTGAGCACTCTATTTCTTTCTGCCACTTTAATGATGGTTTAAAACCCAATTGGTTTAAGAACACTCATAGCTTAACTTGGTATTTATTTTTAAGTATTTATCAAATGAACAGCAAGCAGACACAATAATATTGTTGTATTTCTGTGTATCTTTCTCTATTGCTTTTGCTTTTGAAGACTTTAAGAGCTTTAAGTCAGCTTGCCAAAAATTCTTTATTCAAAATTTAATTAAGAAAATTGGAAGACCATCGGGCACTATTTCTCATCTTGTAAAATGCATGGGCTCTTTAAACCAGCAATTCTGTGTTAAAGAATCTGTCTTGCAGGTGTGGTCACATATATGTGCAAAGGCAAGGACATTCATGTAGGCAATGCAGCCAGGAGTGGGTGGGGGAGATTACATTTTTTTTTTTTTGGTGAGGAAGATTGGCCCTGAGCTAACATCTGTTGCCAATCTTACTCTTTTTTGCTTGAGGAAGACTGTCACTGAGCTAACATCTGTGCCAATCTTTCTCTATTTTCTATGTGGGACAACACCACAGCATGGCGTGACAAGTAGTATGTAGGTCTGCACCCAGAATCCAAACCCTCGAACCCCAGGCTGCTGAAGTGAAACACACAAACTCAACCACTACACCACCGGGCCAGCCCCGAGATTACTTTTTTCTGTTTCTGCTTTTTTTTACAAAAAGTAAAGAATACTTTTTGTATTCTTTAAAAATTTTTAGCAATGTACATGCATCATCTTTCCAAAAATTAAGACAAAAATGAAGCTAAATTTTCATTCTTAGGCTATATATCAGAACTTGCAAAAAGAAGATTCCATTTCCGATGATGGGGTCCCTAACAGTGAATGTGCACTGGGCAAGTCTATTTGAAGGTGGTTGGTTTTAGGTGGGCTGATTTTGTCTGGGAAGGGTTGAGGGCAAACCAGTCCCCTGCCTACCACCCCACTCTGGCCCCAGGCTTTGGGGTTGCAAAGCCCCTCCCCAAGGCAGCGTTACCTGTTTGTAATCCTTCCAGTTCCGCTGGAAATTCACGCTGCCATTCTCGCGGCGCTGGATGAGGGTCCACCCGCCTCCATTAGCCTCCATGTCACAGAACACCTGGAGAGAATTGGGCGAGGGGAGTTGGAAGCCCTTGGAGGTCAGGTCTGGGCTTGCCCAAGTGTAGATTTGACTGACAGAACCTCACAGAGCAATGGGTGAACCTGGTGGCCAGGGGCCTCAGAAAGATCCAAGTTCAAATTCCCCACCCACTGTCATCATTTTTCTAAAGTGGCGGGCAAGCGATGCCCTCTCAGAGTCTTCCTTTCCTCATTTGCCAAAGGAGGATCTTAATACCTTAATCTCGTTGTGCCTCAGTTTCTCATCTGCAAACTGGAGTTGCTGTGAGCATTAAATGAGATGAGTCATCTAGAGAACAGAGGCTGGCACATTCTAGGAACTAAATAAATGGAGGCTTTTCATTCGCTCTTATTGCAAGGCTGCCGTGGGGGTTAAATGCCGAGAGGTGTAAAGCACTTGGCACACAGTGTAGATTCAGGAGACGCTCTTACATTCAGTGGACAAATGTTTTCTGAGCACCTACTATGTGCCAGTCTCCATTCAAAGCACTGAGGATGCCAACATGGATAAGACAAAAAGAGGTCTGTCTCTCAAAGAGCTTCCACGCATCACAATCATATCTTTCAGTCTCAGCTTTGCCACATACTGTTTCTCCAGCCAGTTCAGTACATGCTCAATGGCCAACGAGGACAAACTTGGTGGCCGGCCACGGACTAGATGAATCTGGGATAAATCAACCCTTGGGGCTGGCTTGGCCTGGAGGAGGCTATGATACAGAAGGCAGACTATAGATTATGAGAAGCTATTGGGGCAGCTACAAGGAAAACTCCCAAGAAGGAGTCACTGGGCAACCAGGCTCCCCAGAGGAGGTGGCCCGGGAACAGGGACCTGGATGACGATATGTCTGCCAGGTAGAGATGAGTGGGAATGGCATTTCCAAAGGAGGCAGTAGCAGGAGTAGAGGCTCTGAGATGGTAAAGATGCTCAGGGAGAGAAGACAGTGCTATCTGTGTGGGAGTTACAGAGGGGACAGGAAAGGAAACTGAGGCCCAGAGAGGAGAAGAGACTTGTGCAAGGCAAGTGAGTCAGAGGTAAAGCTGAGCTCTGAGCCCAGCTTTCTTGCCTCCCAGGCCAGCTCCTCCCTCTCCATCAGTGTTCCCAAATTCCAGCCGTTCGCACTTTCCCGAATTCCAACATAGCTGAATTACTTAATATCAAATAGAATATTTACCAAAAAAATGGTGTCCTTTTCTTTTTTTTACTTAAATACTCAGATTAAATATATTTTAAAAGGAAATCTTATCCGTATCATAAAGGGAAAACTAGTAACACTTGCCTTTATCCAGATAATTGTAAAAATGAATACAATGAAAACAAAATGCTACAAAATTCCAGCTAGAAATTGAGGGCCTGATCTCTATTTTTTAAAAGGGAGTTAAGCAGGCGTGTGCAAAGTGTTAAAGAAACTCTGGAAACAAATGGAGCCATTCTCCTCGATATATTCAGAAGGGGGGAAAGGGAACCATGAAGTGGGAAGACTGGCTACCTGTTCCCCATACTCTTCCATTTCTGGGCCTGGCCCCCAACCCGCCCTCCTGACACCCCCACTTACCCTCGGCTTCCCTCCCCATCAGAAAACTGCACCTCAAAGCTCGGAGCAGCCTTAGGAGCCGCTCAGTGGAGACAGTGGGCCCCCAGCAGGCTCGTCCCTAATTTCCCGTGTGGGGCAGAGCCCTCACGCCCGCCTTCAACTGGACTATAAGTAAACTAGAAATAAACTTCTTTGTGTTAAGCCCCTGGAATTTCAGGGTTTCTTTGTTACAGCGGCTAGCACTACGTGAACCAACATAGAACTATTTCCTGCTATTCCAACCAAAAGTGCCTGTGGAGAAGATGCAGAAGGATGCACTTCCAGCTCTGGGAACTTCTGCTTTAACCCCATGGTCTGACTGAGTGGGGGCTCCAGAAGGGCCACCCCACCTTCTCTGGTATCTCAGATGTTGGACAAGGCCTGCGCTGATGGGGGGCCTGTGTGGGAGGCCCATGGCTCAGCCCCCAGGGAGCCCCCTAACCTTCCTGGGCTCCGTCACATTGGCCACGTGGATGGTGTAGACGCCACTGGCATTGGCCCCGAAGCGCTGGATCTCTGCACAGTCCTGGAACACCTGCTCGGCTGCCCTCAGGGAGGCTGCAGTGGGACAAAGCACAAGCAACTGGAGGTGAGCTAAGGAGAGAGGCAAGGGGCTAGGTGGGCACTCCTGCTTGCTGTGTGCTAGGTGCTGGGGACAGGGAGGTGAATCAGACCTGGGAAGGCTTCCTAGAGGAGGTGATGGTGAGCTAAGACCTGGATAAGGAGGAGTCACCCAGGCAGAGAGAATGGCATATGCAAAGTCTCCAAGGTGGGAACAGTCCTGGTGTGTGCATGGAACAGAGTGCGGTGAGGGGAACTGACTGAGGCCAGGGAGGGGGAATGGCTCACAGCATGAGGCTGGAGCTGAGGCCAGAGAGCTCCAGCTGTCTGATGAACCTGGGAGGAGTAGGGAGAGGCTGGGACACAGAAGGTGAGCGAGGAAGGAGGCCGGGATCTCAGCAGGGGCCAGGTCAGCCTTGAATGCCAGGCTGAGGAGCCCTGACTGTGCGGAGGAAGAGCATACTGGTCAGAGTGTGGAACAGAGACTGGAGGGGATGAGACTCCAGGCAGAGAGGCCAGAGATGAGGCTGCTAGAGTCTTCTGTGGGAGGGTAACGGGCCAGAACTCCAGTGAGGTACTTCCTCTTTTCATAGACCAGGAAACTGAGGCCCAAGGGAGTAACTCGCTCACGGGCGCCCAGCTTGGGTAGAGCCTGCCCCCTCTCCAGGTCTTACGGGCATTTTGTCTTTGGGGCTCCCTTGGGTGGGAGGCTCAGATCCCCTCCACCTGGATATCCTGGCAGTCTTGGAGGTGGGCCCGCTCATTACACCCTCCCTAGGAGCGGGCCATTGGGCTTAAAGGCCCATGGCTCTCCCTGCTGGAGAACATTAATTTAATGACTGCATCCTACTGGGGCCCTGGGAGCCTCCAGGCCTGGCCTGAAGAATGGGCCTGTTGATGGATAAACTACAGGGGTCTCACATCCCCTCTCTGGCTGCTTTAGTGGGATCCAAATAGAGGTTTGGGCTGTGATTCCAACAGAATCCAATCTCTGGGTAGGTGGGTATCCAAGGAGAGGGCTAAAGTTCCAGATGGATAGGTATCTTCACCAATGAGGAGCCAGAAGGCTACCAAGGGGCGGGACTTCCTATTTTGGCCTCACTCTTGAATCCGAAGGGAGTCCTGGAGCTGGGGCACCTGCTCCAAGGAGGCTGGCCTTCCCACATCTCAAATGCAGTGATTACATCCCTGAATCCATCCCAGCCTGTGCACAAACGTTCCCCCGCAGGGTGTCCACCGCCTCACCTGTCAGCCCCTGGTCTGTGGGGACCTGGAGCCCAGTCGAGCCAGGAGAAGGTGCTGGTCTACAGGGAGCAGGGTCAGGCCCAACTTTAACCTGCCAGGTGAGGGTGGAGCTGGGAGTTGCCCTCAGATTCCAGCCACCCTTCCAAGGCTCTGTCCACTCCTTTTTGCCTTAGTCAACAACATAGCGATAACAACAACAATAACAGTAAAGGTGAAATACCCACCCTGCACTGTAGTGTTTCTTAGTCAGGAACTGCCAGGGGCAGTTTGGGGCCAGGAAAAATATTTTCAGGGAGCATAAGAGTAAGGATGGATGGGTCCTGATATGCATCATAGTTTGGCCCCAGCCTGGGCCCCCTCTGGACCTCTGGGCTGGCAATTTGTACCAGCTCTGCCCCCTTTTGGCCTCAGGCACTGCGCTCAGCTCCTTCACGTGCATGAGCTCATCTGATCCTCTGTGCAAGAACTCTGTGAGACGGGTTCTACTATTATTCCCATTTTGTAGGTGAGGAAAATTGAGGCTCTGAGGCATTAAATGACTATGCAAAGTCCCAGAATTAGTAAGTGAAGGGGCCGGAGCGTGAACTCTGGTCCATCTGACTGCAAAGCCAGTGTCCTTCCTACCACACACCTCCTTGGGTCTCCAGCACTGAGCCTCCGTAAGGCTGGCAACCGGACCACCTTAATGGATTCTGCTCCTGATACTATGCACGGGTTAGGTCTTCTCTCCCTGTGTCCCTGTCCTTCTAACCTTCTGAACCTAAGTTCTCCATCCTTTGCCAGCCTCCACCTGCCTGGGACAAAGCTATGCAGAGACAGGTGCAGGCTTCCTGCTGGGCTTCACAGACGCCTGGGTCCTGCGCTTGTCTCCATCCAGTCCTCTGATCTATGCTTGGTGACTAATCCTCTTTCAGTTCCTCCATCTAGACTAGGGGAGAAACAACACCCGAGTGCCTTTCCCTGGTGACGGTGGGGCAGGAGGACAGGGTGTTCTGGCAAAGGGAGCCCAAGGCGAGGTGCCTGGCACAACCTCCCACCCAGACTGGTGAGCAGACGTTTGCCCACAGCTGGGACTGGGTGAGCAGTGAGCCTGCGGGGCGAGGCATCGGGCCCGGGCCCCACACCGTGGGCTGAGCAATAAGAACCCCACGTGTGGTGCTGATTTAGGCAGCCTCACCACCAGGGCTCTGCACGAGCTGCTGACGGGTCTGGGTCACTCACGCCTCACGGTTTGGGAGGTATCCAGCTCTCCTACCTCAGGCCTCAAACCTCCACCCAGCAGGGCCTGCCCAGCTTAGATGGAGGAGCCGTGGCGCCATCCTGTGTCCCCAGATCACTGCCAGCCACATGGCCTGGGAGCCATCGCTGTTGCTTGAGCCCTTGTGCCTTCCAGCTCCTCCCACGGCCATCTGGCAGCAGTAGGAACGCTTTCCTCCGTCTTTCTCACCAAGCCGCTCTCCACTCCCGGGTTCCAATCGAGCGTCCCAAGACTCAGTCCCACCCTGTTCGACAACCTCCTGCGGCTCTCCACTGCCCGCAGGTTAAAGCCCCTCTCCTCAGTTCAGCTTTTTAGGCCTTCCGTGGTCAGCAAACTTCAGGAACACTGTCAGCAGAGCAGCTGGCACATAGTAGGCACTCAGCAAATATGCATTTCCTCCTCCTTCCCTCAGAGACCCACCGCCAGGGGATGGGGCCCTTCTGCAAGAGACCATGGGGGCCACGACTGTGCTGTTCACGACCATATTCCCAGCACCTGCTCTGGGGCTTGCACACAGTGGGTGCTCAGTAAGTGTTTGTTGACTGAGTGATTGAGGCTGGATCCTGGAATGCCTTGGCCACCCCAAGTGGGTCCCATTAGAAGGAGCCAGTGGGGGCCGGGGTGTGGGCTGGCGTCATTCTCCCTTCTGGAAGGAAGCCAGGGCCAGGGACGCCTCTTCACTTCTGTTCGGCCCTCTCAGGCTTAAGGGGCAGGGGCCTTAGGGTGGGAGAAGTCCTCAGGAAGCATCAAGTCCAACCTCCCCATTCTAAAGGTAGGGAAACTGAGGCCTGGGAAGGGTGGGGTAAGCCCAAGCAAGTGAGGATGAATGGTGGATCCTGGAACCCAAACCCGTCAGTCTGGGCTAGTGGTGTCCTTGTTATCATCATTACCTCCATTAAACAGATGGGGAAACTGAGGCCAAGAGAGGGACAGGGGCATGTCCAAGGTCATACACGGAGTCAGCCAGTAGAGCCCAGATTGGCTCCTCTTAGGACTGTTGTCGTCACCATTGTTATTATTGTTTGTTGTTATTTCGATTTCACAGTTGGTGGGAGAGGGGTGGGGATTTTCCCGCGGTGGCTTCCAGGCCCCTGAGTGACCCGGGACGGGAAGCAGGGTCTCCCTCTGCTGTCCTGCCCTCCTCCCGCACCCGGCGCACCCGCTGGCTCACCCGGGCCCTGGGCCACGACGCGCACCAGGCGCTGCACCGACTCCAGCAGCTGGCGTTGCTGGCGCTGCAGGAGACTGGAGTTGCTGCTGGCGGCGCGCAGGCTGCGCTCGAGGCCGGCGAGGGCGCCGCTCTGGCGGCCCAGCAGGCGCCGCAGCCGCTCCTTCTCGCCGCGGAGGCTGGCCAGCTCCGCCTGCTGCTGCGTCTCCAGGGCCTGCACCCGCGTCTCCAGGGCGCTGCGGGCGGGGGCGCAGAGGTAAGCCCGCCGTCCCCCCACCAGGCAGTCACACGCGCGCGCTTCCCGTGCGTCCCGGGGTGACTTCGCGGTACAGACCGACCCTGAGGCTCAGAGAGGTAGAGCGTCCTGCCCGGGTTACACAGCCTGGAGGTCCGAGCCCACCCACGGCACAGAGTGAGAATGGTAGGAAAGAGAGACGCGGCCCTGGAGTAAGACGGATTTGGGTCCGGTAGAGGAAAAAGGCGGAGGTGGGAGGGACACGCCAGCAATGAGGTAGCCATTGCTAAATCCCAAATACGCTTGCCCTTTGCCCTAGCAGTCCACTCTCAGGAGATGACCTCCAGGGAGCTGGGCTAGAAGGCCCGTTGTGGGATTGTTTGTAACAGGGAAAAACGAAACAGCCTAAATGGCCAACAGCCAGGACTGGCTGAGTGTGCTCTGTTCTGGCGTCCCTGGAAATGCTCTGGAACCGCGAAGAGGAGAGAGGCAGAGGGCGTTTGCCCAGAATCGGAAAGATGCCCAGGACGTGGAGTGAACACCTGGCACTCAACTGCTTCTAGTCGAACCCCACCTGTGGGATGATAAAAAAGAGACAAAGAAGAAAGATTTTCATGTAAACGTAGAGGGATACGGGTGAACTTCTGGGAAAAGGTTTGGAAAGACATGGAAGGACACAGTGGTGCCTGTGCTTGTAGAGAAAGCGAAAGAAAATCCACTAAATTGGCTGCTTCCACAGAGCAGGGTGGAGGGATGATGAAGGAGAGAGAGGAGGAGGGGGAGGGGGCCGGCTTTCCCCTTCATTTTATACGGGTCTCTACTGTCTGATGCTATAATAGGTAGGAGGCATTTTTGTAATACGTTAAAAAAAAAAAAAGAAGAGTTTTAAAAGAGAAAGAAGCTTTTGACGCAGCTCTTCCACTTTTGGCATTTTACCCCACAGATTTGCTCACATGTGAGTGCAATGAACTGTGGGAAGGGTATTCATCGCCTCACTGGTTGGAGTAGCCACAGACTGGAAGCATCCTTAATGCCCTTTCACTGGGGACTGGGGAGATAAATGCCGGGACAGCCGTACAGAGGAGCGTGCTGCAGGTGGAGGAGAGAATGAGCAAGTGTGTCAGGCAGATATTAGAACCATTTCCAGGACAACTGAAAAAAAAACAAAACACAAGGTGCAGAAGAGTGGTATGCTACATTTGGGTTTAGAAAGGCCAAAAAAAGGGACAATCCATATGTATGTATTTACATATTCGTAAGAAACCCCGGACTATCAGCTTATAAATGGCAGTTCCACAAGGACAGGGATTTCTGTCATTCGTTCACTTCTGTAACCCCAGCGTCTATAATAGTGCCTGACACATGGTAAGAGCTCAAAACATAATCGTGGATTGCATGCACGGAAGGACACACAAGAACTAGGAACAGGGTCACCCGTGCTGGGGGGGGGGGTGGCGGAGGGACAGGGGAGGAGGGAGACGCTTTCCTACGCGTGAGCTTATGCTGACTATTCTCCAGACAAGAAAATGAGTCCAGCCAGGGCAGCAGGAACTTCCCTCGGACCCCACATTATGCCACAGGAAGAGAGAGAATTTGGGCACACTCGGGTTCTAGAATTTTGGCTGTCTCCATGGGCCAAAAGCTTACTGGTGACACCTTCCATCTTCACTGATTTCTAGGCACTTGGTGCCAGTTCAGAGTGATGGAAAGTGTTCCAGCCCTTGCCCTCCCTCACCTTGGGGTGAGGGAATCAGAATAAGAAGGTGGACACGCCATTATTAACTGCACCCAGATCCGAGGGGGCTGGGCGAGCCTTACGGCCTTATCCTGACCCGACACGTGAACAGCAATCGCACCTCGCCCCGTGCACAGGCCCGTGGCTGCTTCCGTTGTGGGTTTGGCCTTCTCCAGCACCCTGATCTTGGCAGATTTTTCTCTACTCAGCTGGAAACCGAGATGAAATCAGCCTCAGATGTCTGTTTGTTTGCCTTATCTGTACCCCATGACTCTTTTTCCCTTTGTAATTTCAAGGGTGTTCCCTTGTGCATATTTGCTTATAGAGGCAGAGAGTCTGCTGGTGCAGACCAGAAACTGATAACTGCGGTTGCTTCTGGGAAGACAAATTGTCGGATGAGGTCAGATTTGCTGATTTACAAATAAGGGCAGCAAATTAAAATTTACAGGGTGAATTGTATGGTATGTAAATTATAGCTTGATAAAGCTGTTAAAACTTATAAAATAAATAAATAAAGGAAGAAAGAAAAGAAAGAGAAGGACAGAAAGAAAGAACGGAGAAAGAATCAGGGTGTCCTGAGCCCCAGGAAAATGCCTGTCCCTTGTCACCGCCCCGTGGAGGGTAGCCAGGCCCTGTGCCTGCCCAGCCCCCAGCCCCAGCCTCAGCCCAGGCCCAGTGGCCGCTTCACTCCTAGCTTCGGTCTGTCTCCTACCCTGGCTTCAGTCCCTACCCCAGCTCTGAGCCAGTCGCAGCTCCTGCTCCAGCCCTGGCCCCCACAGATCCTCGCTCACTCGCTCCAGCCCTAGCTTGGCCTGTAGCTCTGGCCCCAGGCCCTGTCCCGGGCACTAGCCCAAGTCCAGCTTCCAACCTTGGCCTGGCCGCAGCCCAGCCCTGGCTCTGGTGCTCACTCTGGGTCCCAGACCCACTGAGGTCCCAGCCCAGCTCCCATCCCAGCCCAGTGCCAGAGTAGCAGTGCCCACCTGTTTTGGCCCTGCAGCCGGTGGAGCTCGTGGCCCTGCAGCAGCAGCTGCTTCTCCAGCTTGTTGGTGGACAGTGAGGTCTCCAGCAGCTGGATCTCCATTCGTGATGTCTGGTTCAGGACCTTCCCGGAGAACAGGAGGGGGTGGGGGGTATGTAAGCCTTGCAGGAGTCCTGCCCGGTGGCTGCCCACCTGCCTGTGGGCCCTGCCGTTTCAGAAACTTGCCGACCTACTTCCACCCTCCCAGTAGGTAGTGCCTGTGGTCCTTCATTCATTCACTCACTTACAGGCCCTCACTGAGTTTGTAATCTGCTTTCTAAATTTGCCTTTCCCCATCATTGCACGGTGGTGGTTCCATTCTTCTTTCTGCTCAGACCCCAGGAGGAGTCATCCTTGACCCCACATCCAATCCATCAGCAAGTCCCATCAGCTCTGCCTTCCAGATGGGGACCTAACCACTGCCCTCCCCCTATATGGCCTACCCTCTGGTCCTGGCCTCCAACATCTCCCACCCTGTGTCCTGTGCCAGCCTCCTCACAGGGGTCCCTGTTCCTGCCCTTGTCCCCTACAGGGCAGAAGATAGCCTTTTAAAAGAAGCCTGAGGCAGCCTCTTAAAATGTGGCCTCTCTGCTCAAAATCTTCCTGTGGCTCCCACCTCCCCCAGTGGACAAGCCCCAGTCCTTGCCATGGCCTCCAAGGCCCTGTGAAGCCATCTGCCCCATCGCCTCTCTGACCTCTTGCCCACCACTCTCCCCCTGGTCACTCCAGCCACACTGGCCTCCTTGATGTTCCTGGAGCTTGCCAGCACCATCCCGCCCCTGGGCCTTTGCACATGCTGTTCTTCCTGTCTGGAAGGTTCTCCCAGTAAGCCTGGCTCCAATCCTACTTCTCAGTGGTGCCTTCCCAACCTTGCTGTCTAAACTCACATCTCATCCCACCCACCACTCCCAGCACACACTCCCCATAGCTCTTGTCCACGCTATTTTCTCCTGAGCACTATCACCATCTCACATCTATAAGTTATTCATCCTGTTCGTTTTCCTGGTGCTCGTTAGGAAGGAAGCTCCGTAGGGGAGGGAGGCGTGTCTGTTTTGTTTACTGCCGTAAACTGGACCTGGGCACCTCCAACCGTGCCGGGCACATAGCAGGGGTTCAACAAACTGTGCCCATTTGTTGGTCATCTTTTCATCCATTCACTCCCTCACTGTCCTGTTTATACGCCTGTTCTCGCCCTCCCTCCCTCTACTCCCACTGCCGCCTCTCTCAGCGCTGTGGCGCCCTGGGGTCTAATGACTTGTTTATTACCATCTTACCCTGCAGCTCTGTGGGCCCCCGAAGGAGGGGTGCTGCTACCCCCTCATCCCCGTGCCCAGCACAGACCTGTGCGCTGGAGCCACACAGGCAAAAGATCCAAACCAGGGTCCCCCTCCAGGGCTTGGGGGATGGCAGGGGACGGTTTGTGACAGGGTCATCAGGGAGGGGCCCCAGGGGACTGGAGGTCCAAAGGAGGCCCTGACCTCACCCAGGGACAGAGGTCAAGGTGAGACAACCCAGGCTGTGAGCCAGCCTGGCCGGCCGCAGGCCCCCCAGTGCCGCCCGCTCACTGTCCGGTACCTGAGCCTCCACGCTGGTCAGCTTGCGGGTCTGGGCGGTGGTCTGGTTGAGGAGGCTGGTGCCCAGCTCCAGCATGGTGGCCGTCTGGTTCTGGACCATGTGCCGCTGGGCCTGCGCCAGCTCCGACCTCAAGCTCATCTGGATGTACCTTTCTAGCTGTGGGGAGACCGTGGGCTGGGGTCAAGGGTAGGGAATGGGGGAAGGCTCCTGTCCCTTCCGTGTGTCCCCATGGAAGGACACAGAGCAACCAGGGGAGGCTTCCCTGCCAGGCCAGGCCACCGTGACCTCTCTCCTGGACTCTTCTAGTAGCTTTCTCCCTGGCCTTTCTGCCTCCGTGCTTGTCCGTTACAAGTCCACCCTCCACTCGGCAGCCAGAGGGATCCTGTTAAACCTAAGTCAAATCGCGTTCCTCCTGAGCTCAGAACCCTCCCCAGGTTCCTATCTTACTCAGAGGAAAAGCCGAGGTCTCCCTATGACTGCAGCTTCCTCCATGACCTGGCCTCCTGCTACCACGCCGATTTCCTCTTCTAGTCCTCTCTCCCTCATTCCACTCCAGATGCACTGGCCTCTATGACATCCCTCCAACATAGCAAGCATGCACCTACCTCAGGGCCTTTGTACATCCTGTGCCCTCTGCCCGGAAGCCCCATCTGCATCGCTCACCCCCTCATATCATTTCAGGTAGCTTCCTACCACTTATCACTCCTCGACTTTATATTACATATTTATCTGTCTGTTGCCTGGTTCACCCTCTGGAATGTCAATTCCACAAAGCCAAGGGCTTGGTCTTGCTCACCACTTTATCTCCATGCTTAGCAAAATGCTTAGCACACAGGGGTGCTCAGTAGACATGTGTTCAATGATTTGATGGAAAAAGAGGATCCGCAAGGGTCAGAGCAGAGCCCCCGGTGTCATGCCGGTTACCCAGCTTCCCAGGGAGCCCAGCCATCAGGGAATGGGAACACATCTTTCCCCATACAAGAATTTTCAGATCCATCGGCCAAGCTGAACTTTCTATTTTCTGGCTCTCTTCATCTGCCAAATGGGGCTGACCCAGCCAGGCACCAAGGGTCCTCCAGCTCGGATGTTCTGGGATCCCATAAGCTAACACTCATTTCTTTGACAGGGTTTCTTTCTTTCCCAGGAGCGGGAGAAGCTGGTCTGGCACGAGACCAGGATCTAGCTGCAAAGGTGAACAGCGCGTTCTCAGGGCTCAGTGCCCACGGGCAGAGTGGGCGCCTTCCTCCACTCGCTCCCCATTCTGCAGGCAGACTGGCCCCTCACCAGCATCCCCACCCCGCGGCCTGGCTCCTTCCCTCACCCTCTTGCTCAGTCTTCCAGGAGGTCTGACAGGGCAGCTCCCAGGGTCCCTGGGAAGACTGGTGCTCCCTAGGGAGAGGTGGTGACCTTGGCTGGGGGTGGGGGGAGGCTCTGGCTGCCCCCTCCTTGGTCTCTTCTCCCCTCTTCCAGCTCAGCGGTCTGCTCCCATCCCTTCCTCCCGCGCATGCTTTTGAAGGAGCACGCTCCTCTGTAATGCAACGTCAAATCCTGAAGGGGGCGCAAGGGGCCGGTGCTGGTATTGACTAGAGCAGTGGTTCTCAAACTGTGGTGCTTGGAGCAGCATCCCTGGGAAACTTGTTAGAAATGCAAATTTCTAGATTCCACCCCAGATCCACTGAATCAGAAATTCTAGGGTGGTACTCAGAGCTCCAGGGGAATCTGATGCTCGCTGAAGTATAAGCACCCGGATATTGAGGTCAGAGGGGACTGAGGACCAGCGAGACAAGCCTATCTGAGCTTCTCAAGCCTTTGTCCCATGGGCCCCCTCTTCCTCCCCACTGTGCCCTGCAACAGAGGAATGTGTCCCAACAGCTCCCATCTAAAAATTCAAGAAAAAATATACCCTTGACCCCACAGTGCCCTCCAGCTGCCTCCAATTTCTCTGCTCCCCTCAAAGACAAAAGTTCTTGGACAAGTTGTGTCTGTTTTCTCACCTCCATCCCCATCCCTAAAAAAAATTAATAATACTATTATGGTGGATGTCACACGTACAAAAAAGGCATAAAGAATAATATGATGAAATCTGTGTATTTACCACACTCAAGAAAAAAATAGAACCCAGACTGTTGAATCCATGCCCCCCCGCCTGTCTTCTGGCCCCGGGGGCCCCTTCACTCTTTAACTCGCCCCGTGGTGACCTTCTTGACAAGGGAGGGCCAAGGGACACTGCCGTGTTCCCCTCTTACTCTCTGGCTCACAGTGGTCAACCCAGATGGCCACTCCCTTTTTCTGGAAGCACTTCCCAGATGCAGCCTCTCCTAGTTTTTCTCTGACCCCTCTCCCGGTAACCCCCCGCTGACTCCTCCTTCGCCAGGTCCCACATGTTGAGGGGATTCTCATGGCCCAGTTCAGGGCCTTAGTCTCTCTGTCACATTCTCTCTCCCTGGGTCAAAGGTCCTTCTTGGAGGACCACAGAGTCAGTGAAGAGAATTCAGGGGGACTATGAACTTGGGTGAGAAAAAAAATTACATCTTTTGTCACTAACCTATAATTAAAATTTGGCATTTCCTTCAATTGTGAGCATAGGCCACAAACCATAGCACTATTAGCCGATCCCATGACTTCGTACCCATAGAAATCATAAATATTTTCATATTGCAACACAGGTGTTATATATCTTAAAATACTGTTTCTGTTTTTAACTCATCATGACTTCAGAATTATGGACGCTCTCAAACCCACCACTGGATAACGCTAGCACATTATAGCACAGATTCAATTTTTAATGTTTTGATTACAATTACAATATTATTGGGTATTCTTATTCTTTTATGCCTTTGGAAGTATTATTCTGAAAAAGGATCTGTAAGCATCACCCAGGACCAGAGAGATGCCGAAGTGTCCAAGGTCCACATGTGAGGGTTCTGCCATGGGTGCTCCAGTTGGTCCTGGGAATTTCACCTCCCTATGTGCCGATGGCGCCATGTCCATCTGCCACCTAGACTTCTCCCCTAAATGTCCCACCAACTCGCCATCTCCACGTGGATTTCCAACAAGCGTCGCAAGCCAAAGCATCCGACGTGGAGCCCTGATTCCTCGGCTCCCACCACCGCTGTCCCTGAAGGCCCACCCTATCTCCCCTCCTCTTTTCATCTCAGTGAATGGCCCCACCGAGTCTTAAGCCCCCAACCCAGACCTCACCCTGGACTCTTCTCTTTTTCTCTCCTGCCACCACTCAATCCGCTAGTGAGTTCTGGCCACTAGGATCCCAGCGTGAGTTTCGAATCTGTTCACTTCCGTCCACCCCTGGCCAGGCTGCCGTCATCCCCACGGGGCAGCTTCTCATGCTCTCTTCACCACACCTCTCAGCCCCCGGGGATTCTAACGTGTGCCTGGCTGGGGAGTACCGGGTGGGTAAGAGTAAGCAGAGCTATTCTGAGGCTGCTCTAGGACTTTCCCGAGAGCCACGAACCTCCTGGAATCTAGTTTAAAATGCAGACTCCCAGGCCCTGAGCTTCTGCAAGTTCATTCCTGCCGTGAGACCTTCTCAGGCATCTCCTCCAAGCTTCTCATCTGCAGATGGACACACTGAGGCCCGGATACTCCCCAAGGTCATCACCTGGTGGGCTAGGTTCCGAGACTCTTTGCCCATGGGCTTCCTGAGGTCTGCAGAGCTGGGCTGGTGCCTCAGGGTAGCTTGAGTTCATCTTGAGTGATAGGAGCTCCTTTAGCACCCTCACTGGTACCCCCGCTTGTCCTGTGGCTGCAAGTGGCTGGTCGGGGCAAAGGCTGCCCACAGCTGGGGCCCATCACCCAATTGGCCTCACCCGCCCACCAGCATGGGCCCTGGGATGGCTAATCTGGGCCACATGGGCCCAGTTTGGCTAGGCTGGGGCTCCGGTGACTAATGTTGGCCTGTGTAGAGGGGGTTGGGTCTGTCCTAGGGCTCAGACACCAGCTGAAGGGTCGGGGGAAGGATCCCAAAGGAGGAAGTGACCCTGGGTGAGGTCTGCTGGAGCACCCAACCCCCAGGATTGGACCCGCCCCTTCTCTGTCACCCTCCTGTTGGCAGATTCTCCAGGCTGAGATAGGAATGGAGGCCTGACCTCCCGCCACCCCTCCAGCCTGCAGAGAGGCTGACCCTTGGCCCTTGGACCACCTCACGCTCCCCTTGGCCTGGGTTTGAGTTCTGGCTCTACCAAGCTCTAGTTGTGGGCCCCTGGGGAAGGAGACACTTCTCCGAGCCTCACTTTACCGATCTGTGACGTGGGGACAGTAAACCCTGCTCCTTGTTGGGGAGAAGGCATTTGGAAAAAGCCTTGAAGGACAGGAAAGGATCTCTGACAGGCCAGGGCTGGAGGAGGACGGAAGGATGATCGGATAGATGACAGATGAGCGTCTGTGGACGAGCAGTCCCAGTGGCCAAGGAGGTCTGCTCAGGCCTGCCTTCTCCTGCATTTTTTCTAGAAAAAAGACTTCAACTGTGGACAGGTCACTGTGGTCCATCCATCCAATGGACTCTATTCAGCAGTAAGAAGGAAAGAACCGTTGATGCACAAACACGGGTGAAGCTCGGCTGTACCATGCTGAGAGAAATAAGCCAGACTCAAGAGCTACACACTGTAAGATTCCATTTACGTGACTTTCTGGAAAAGTCAGAATCCATAATTGCCAGGGACCAAGGTCTGGGGGTGGGAACTGACTGCAAAGGGACACAGGGGAACCCGCTGGGGTATTGGCGATGTTCGCATGATTATGGTGGTGGTTACATTTGTCGGACTCTTAGAACTGTACATTAAAAGAGTAACTTCACTGTATGCGGACTATCCCTCCATAAAAAGCAAACTCACCAACATAAAGTTCTATAAATATGTTTGTAATAAATACCTTTCCTCAAATTAATCCCTCGCCCTCTGAGTTTCATTTGAGTATCCACTTGGGAATGGTTCTTGAGCACCTACTATGTGCTAGGCCTTGTACTGAGGACTAGGGAATCAGTAATGAACAAAATTAGCAAGTTTTGTGACTCCAGGGCAGTTCTGCTAAATACTTCCATTAGCTTCCCATAGGGATGAGGGCCATGAAGACATAAGACGGTGATGAGTGGGGTCGGGGGCAAGTTTAACCAGAGTGGCAGGGAAAACCCTCAGCAGAGA